GAATGGCTCCTCACTGCCAGAGGGCAGGGATAGATGGGATATTGGGCAGGCCCTGGTGTTATAGGTTAGTATAAGAATTTAGACAACTCCATTCCAATTAAACATTGATAAATTTATTAAGCAAGCGATAATAAAGTAAAACAGCGCTGGGTGGCCTGGAGGGCAAGTGCCCTGCCGAAGCACACACCGAAATGAAGTCAGTGTCTCTTTTTATACACGTTGGTGGTTCTTAAGTACATGTTAAGTGGTGTCTGGCATTGGCTTTTCGGATGTAAATTTGTTTGTTGCTTGAGTTCGGTGCCTGGGTAAGTGGTAGTCTGGTATTTGTCAGAGATGAAAAGGTGCAGTTCTTATCAGTTGTGTATTGACACTTGCTTGATTAGCAAGCTGTCTGTGAAACTCCTCTTGTTTAATTACAACAGAAAGTTTCTGACTCCCTCATACAAATAAGATTTTATGAACAAAGTTAACCCTTCTATTACACTGGCACAGGTTGCCCAGAGAAGCTGTGGCTGCTCCAACCCTGGAAGTGTCCAAGGCCAGGTTGGAGCAACCTGGGACAGTGGAAGGAGTCCCTGCCCATGGCAGGGGGTGGAATGAGACGCTTCCAGGAAGGAGTCATTGACAAGGAGCTGCAAAGCACATAAAATCCATGCCCCTGACTCCACCAAAAGCCAGGGCTGTGTCCCTCTGAGCAGCCTGACCTCCTCCAGCTCCAATCCCTCCGCTCTGCTCGGGGTGCCTGAGCAGGCTGGAATGCAGAGCCCTGAAAGGGGCCACTCTGTCAGCCAGCTCTGCAGTGCCATTGAGGCAGAGCAGCCCCATCTGCAGCCAAAGGCCCAGCCTGGGCCACACTTTGTATTTGTTTTTACACTTTGGGAGCTAAGTTTGGGTTTGGAGAGCTCAGCCACACAAAGGGGCCTCTGTCTGCCTCTAAAAGGACAAGGGGGGGACGGCAGAGGGAAAGAACATTTGCCACGCAGAGGCAGGGGCAGATTATGAACCAGCTTTTCATGTTGGCAGGAAACGCTCGATCCTCCTCCACGTTCTTTAGGCTGGGCCCACAACACGGCTTTGAGGGGAGGCAGCCCCTAAAGGAAAGACATTTCAGGTGGGGAAGGTGAAGCCAAGCCTGTATTTGCAACCAGTTTGTAAGTGGAAGATGCTTAAATTGATCCGTTTTTAAAAGCAAACCTTATTTTTTTAGAACCCTCTTTGTCTGAAGGTGCTCCACATTGTTGGGGTTGGATGCAGCTCCACCTGCCCTGGTGGGTGCAGGATTGGGTGCTTGAGGTGCCCTCAAGTCCTTTGTGCTTTCCCTGCTTGGGAAGAGGCTTCAGTTTTCTGTCACACTATGGAGCCACCAGTGAATCTTGGCAGCCGGATTATGTGTCTGAATAGCAGCTCTGTGCTGAAAAATGTACTCAAAATGCTGATTTTTAATTTGAAAAGCACGTGCCGTAATGGTGGCAAACAGCAGGGACGTCAGAATTTTACCAGTTATTGGACAAGAGTAATTTGGTTCTAAAGTGCCCTGATTTGGTTCAAAAGTGACCCCAGAGTTGTGGGGATTCAAGGGCTGGACTCAATCATCTTGGAGGTCTTTTCTAACCTTGATGATTCTGTGATTTAGGCCTAACCTAGTCTGACCCCCAGGAAAATTTAATAGGAACTGATCCTCATGGAATGTGTTGGCAATTCAGGCACCTGGAGGCACCTGAATTTCAGTTCATCAGGAACTGCAGTGAGGAGAGGAGGAGTAAATGGGTTCAGACTGAAAGAGTGGAGATTTAGATGGGATATTGGGAAGAAATCCCTCCCTGGGAGGGTGGGCAGGCCCTGGCACAGGTTGCCCAGAGAAGCTGTGGCTGCCCCTGGATCCCTGGAAGTGTCCAAGGCCAGGTTGGACAACCTGGGCTGGTGGGAGGTGTCCCTGCCCGTGATAAGGAGTTAAAAGAAGATGAGCTTTAATGTCCCTCCTCACTCAAACCCTTCCATCATCCTACAACTCTGTAATCTCACCTGAAATTGGGAAAATCAAAACGACAGAGCAGAGTGGTGCTGCCCTGAGCTTCCCAGGGGGAACAAACCCCATCAGCACTGCTGAGATCACCGAGTGTTTCCAGGAGATGTGGCTGTTTTTTCTGGCTTGCTTACAAAAAAAACCCCAAAACCAAGCAAACAATGCACCCCAACCCTCCAGCAACCACACTTGAAGCAAAGGAAGTCAAACCCCTCAGTGCTTAAACAACCTTGAAAAGATTTCCTGTCTTACTTCGAGGGAGATTGATACGAAGTTAAGGCTTTAGAACAAGTAGGAGATCACATTTGTGGGTTGCAGCCCAAACCCTCCAGCACTGGGGCGTTGCATGGCAAAATCTTTACCTCTGTAAATGGAGAAAAACCCTCTGGAAGGAGCATTTCCCAGCTGCTTCCACGGATTTGACTTTCCCTGTGAATTCAGGAAGCTACAGGAGGTTGTTTGTAACAGGAGAGCCATAACAATGCTCTGGACAAGGTATTTTATTTTCTATTTTAAAAAGGAGCAGAATCTGCCAAAAAAAAAAAAAAAAAAATCCCACTGGGGAAAAGGAGTGAGACCAAACATCCTTCCCATTTGTTCTGCATAAAACTGGATCCTTGAAATCTGGAGAGCTGTTCAGAAGCCAGACAAGTTTAAAGTGGATTGTAAAAAAAACCTGCTTTCAGTGATGCCACCTTTTGCCAAGTCTGTCTTTTCAGTGTCTATAAATTCCAGGGTTTTTCTTTTAACCTGCCCTCATAAACTGAGCAGCCTGGGAATCCTCAGGCATAGGATCTCTCTTTGGGCAGTGATGTGGCCATGAATTGGGGCATTTCTGCACACATTTCCCAGTTTTCCAGCTGTAAAAAATGGGATAATGGCACTCTCTGCAGAAGCTCCTGGATGAAAAGCTGTGCAGCAGGAAAGCACAGCTCCCAAGTTTTGGTTCCATGGGCTCAGCTGGGTTCGCAGGGAAATTTTGGAATTGAAACCATGGATTTGGAGCGAAATCAAACACTCCAAGCTGAGCACAGAGCCCTGGGATGGAATAACCCAGAACTCACTTAAAAGTGACCCAACTTCCTGAGGGTTCTCAGCCTTTTGAGAAAATGAGACTAAATGAGAGAAATTAAGGAGAATAAAAAGCTCTGGGGTCTTTTTATTTTCGTTTGAGCATTTCTCCATGCCCAGGGGATGGTGGAGAGCAGGAACCACCCAGAGTTGCTCTCCAGGGGAACCCCAAAGCTGCTTTCAGCCTCCTGCCCCCCCCCCAGGGCAGGGTTTGTGCTGCTGCCATCAAGGTTTTCCTAAATATGAGCCCACTTTCTTCCCCAGCTCGTTCTGAGCTTGGCTAAAACACAGCACAGTCACCAAACAGTGCAAAAAATAACAATAATAATAATTAAAAAAGAGCAACTTTTCCCTTATATTCCTCTGCTCTTGGCAAAGAGTTCCCCACAAAGGCAAGGCTGAAAATCCCAGAGGACTTTAAAACCTGGGACTTCAGTAATGAACTGTGAGATCTGGGGAGATTCCAAAGGAAATATTGGGAAGTGCAACAGGACCTGAGTGCCCTGCCCTGCCCTGCCCTGCCCTGGAGTGGCTGTGCTGCACAAATCCCTGGGGACAAAGGCAAGGCCAGGCTTTGATGGAGCATCTGATTTAAGCTGGAAATACAGCCTGTCTCAGATTTGGGATTATCCAGCTGGTTTAGTTCCTTATCATCCCGACTTTGTCTGAAAAACACCTCACTGTGGAATTTCGGTGGCGTTTGGGAACGTCCCCTGAGCCAGGCTGGAGCTTCCCAGCACAGCTCCAGGGGCACAGCTGGATGTGCCTCTCTCAGGGCAGATTTGGAGGCTGCAGGACAGATATTTCTTGGCATCCAGGTGGAATCTGTGCATTCAGTTCCATAAAAAAACCCCAAGAAAATCCTCTCTCCCTGAGCACTGCAGGGCTGAGGGGGCTGTGCTGGCTCCTGGAGGCATCAAACTCTGCTGGGACACATCAAGGCTTTCCCAGGAAGCCCAAAATTTGGAATAATCTGATCCACAGAGGTCTAAAATGTGAATTTTCTGTCCCATGGGGTGGGAAAGAGGAAAAGAAGGTTTGGGAAGGTTTGGGAAGGTTTGGGAAGGGAAGGTTTGGGAAGGGAAGGGAAGGGAAGGGAAGGGAAGGGAAGGGAAGGTTTGGGAAGGGAAGGTTTGGGAAGGGAAGGTTTGGGAAGGGAAGGTTTGGGAAGGGAAGGGAAGGGAAGGGAAGGGAAGGGAAGGGAAGGGAAGGGAAGGGGAAAAGACAAAAGAAATAAAGACAAAAGAGAAAAGGAAATAAAAGAGCAAAGAAAAGTCAAAGGAAATAAAGAGAAAAGAAAAGAGAAAAGAAAAAGATCTGGATTTTTTTAATGACAATGGTAATAAATCTGCAGTGAAGGGCACAGTTTGGTGAGTCCAGGCAGGGAGGACACCCTGAGGTCCTGCCCAGTGAGCTCACCAGGCTCACGTGGTGCTCACATCCCACTGTTGCTGTTCCTTTCCAGGAGCTGAGGGACATAAATGACCTCAGGAACCGGGAGCAAACCTGCAGCCAACGACCCTCCAGCCTCCTCTGCTCCCAGAGCCCAGGGCAGCTCCAGCAGCAGCTCCCAGGAGCACTTCCAAGGGCTGGTGGCTCTGCTGGCCGGGAACGAGCGGCTTCAGAGTGAGGAACTTGGACGTTTGACTGCAAAAACAGCAGGTCAAGCTGAAAGTGAAATTCTTGGCCCCCTGCTTTTGTTTCTGATGATTTTTACAGCACAAATCTTCACCCTCCTCTCCCTGACACCTCCTTTGCTGGACACCACCTGCCCCAAAAAGTGATTTGCCCTCCTATTTCCCGCCTGGGCCCTGCGAGCGGTTTAAAGGTTCTGCTAAAAAAACCCACAAAACAACAACACAATTTTGCTTTCTTTATTACTGACAAGTCAAAAAGCCCTCATGTGACTTTGTAGATGACTTAACACATTCAGAGGGCAGGAAGGAAGTCGGAAGGGCTGCTCTGCTCCCTTCGCTCTCCTCCCGTGGGGCAGCGGCTGCAAATTCAGCCTCGTTAACTCCCAGGGAGAGGGGGGGGGAATCCCAAAATGACCCCCCAGGCCCCCCCTGAGCCCCCCAAATGCTGCTTCTTCAGCATCAAGACGGCGACAGTGGCTCTGGGCATCTTCCACATGGTGAGTTGTGGGGCTGGGAGGGGGCACAGGGAGGTGGAATTGCAGGTCACAAGCCCCTGAATTTTCTGGGTGGCCAGAAGAGAAAACCCAGTGATTCAAGAGGGATGGACAAAAGAGGAGAAGATGATGGGGATAAAGGGGGAGTGGAAGCATTTTCTTGGACTGGGAGGGGGTTTTAACTAATTTTTTCCCTGGCTCTACCACTTGGAGCCCATGGAAACTCAGTGTACTTCCTCTTTTCCCCCTCTGTGGAGCTTGGCCAGGGCTCAGCGTGGCCACCTGGACCTGTTGGGTAGAGTGGGCAGCACTTTGGAACCAGGAATGTGGGAATGCCAATGGGAATGTGGGAGTGCTGCAAGAGGGAGGAGGGATCTGTGCTCTGGGTGAGCAAAGAGTGACAGGCAGAGCTGCCTCATCTCTCACTGCACAGCGTTCATGGTGCTTCTGTCTCTGTTGTTCTCCCGTGTCCATCCATCCTCTCAGCCATCCTTTATATCCCCACTTATCCTGTTTTCCTCTTCCTACACAACAGTCCAATCTCTTTCTGCACAGAACTCCATGAAAAATGGTTTATTTTTTTTTATTTTTTTTTTTTGGATAGGATTGTCTTGTCAAACTTCTTGAAGAGGTAACACAGAATACCAACCATTTCCCACCCCTACTTCTCTACCTTTTTGAAGGTGCAGCTGCAGCTGCACAGAGAGAGGGAAAGAGAAAAAGGGGATTTATCAAAGGCAGCGAGTTGGATGATTTGCTGCCTCAATTCAGGTGCTCTGGATCAGTGTAAATCCTTGCTGTGGGTCCCAGGGATGGATCACAGCCACGCTGGGGGGGAGCAGTGCCATCAAACACGAGCTCTTGGGCTTTGTGGCCGTGTCCTGTCCCCCTATAAATTCGATTTGCCTCACTGCTGATCTCTTCAGGGACACAGGAGATAAATCCTGGGCCTCCTGAAGGCAGAGGAGGGGGATGAGGAGGGACAGAGGTGTGGGATTAGCAAAGCCTCGCTGGCTGCTGGGGGGTGACTCGCAGGTGACTTTCACAGAGGGATTTGTGCTGCTCATCAGCTCCTCCCAGGCGTGAAGAGACCTGCAGGAATTTGACATTTAGCTTCAAGATCAGGGCTGGAAATTTGCTACTTGGGCAGAAAACCTGCAGTTCATTCCCTTCTGCTCCTTGATTAGAGCCAGAGGAAGCCTTAGAAAGGAGCTTGTCCCTAGCTTGTCTCAGCTGTCAACAAGTTTTTCTCTTTGGCAGCAGAAACACCCCTGGGACCCTCCCAGGTCCATCCCCACCTGTGGACACGATTCCTGGCAGAGCAGAGCTGGGAGTCACTGAGCTCTCCCCAGGCTGGGCTGACCTGAGATGTTCCACAGACCCCGTGCTGCTCCCTCCTCCTCCTCCTCCTCCTGGAGCATCCCTGCTGCTCAAACCAGGGGGAGGAGAAGGAGGCAGCAGGAAGGAAAAGCGAAAATGTTTTGAAAGGAAACCAAGTGGGAACTAAAAACACTCCTCACTTCGTCCTACACTGCCACAACAACCACTTTTAAAGTGAAATGAGGAAAGGTGAAGCTCGGAAAGTGCAGCATTTACGTGTTGTTTGCCTTTGGAGTGCTGGGTGTCACCTGCTCCTGTCACTGGCCCCTGGTGATGCCATCAAGCTGAACATATTTCAGGGAAAAAAAAGGCCCAACACAACCTCTAAGAGCAGTTTAACCCCACAGGATTGTTCACCAGAGTGGGGGTTGTGTGTGCCAGGCTGTGCAGATCCTGCCTGGCAAAGTACCCCCAATTTATCTGCCTTGATTTAATGAGCAGCTCTGCCTCAGTCCTACACTGTGTCACAGTGTCATGGGAATATCCTGAGCTGAAAGGAACCCACAGGGATCATCAAATCCAACTCCTGGTCCTGCATAGACACCCCAACAATCCCACCCTGTCCCTCAGAGCATTGTCCAAACCCTCCTGGAGCTCTGGCAGCCTTGGGGCTGTGCCCACTGCCCTGGGGAGCCTGTTCAGTGCCCAACCACCCTCTGGGGGCAGAACCTTTCCCTGATATTTGGGCAGGGATATTTTGCCCAGGGAAAAGTCTGGAGATCGTTCTCTCCTTCTTTCCATGCAAGAGCCCTTGTAAATGGAAGGTTTAAACCAACTTTTGCTTTGAAATTCTTCCCCTCTATCTGTCAGGTTGGCTTTCCTGCCATGAGCTTATCTTTTGTGACTGCAGCTGCTCTGGTTTTGTGGCTCATGTCAACACCAACAAGGAAACCAAGGTGTCTTCTGCTCTGCTGTTCCCTCTTTGATAGACCTTGGAGATGGTTCTTGGTCTTGAAGTTTAGCCTCTGGTTATAAATCCATAAATCCATCTGGGGTGGGGGAATTTGGGATTTGTTGTTCTGCTTTCACTCAGTGTCTTCCAGGAATGAAGCTGATATTTAGGGCTCAGTTCATCTGTTTTGCTCAGGCCTCCTTTTCACTGAAACCTGGGGAAAAAAAAGGCAATTTCTCCCTTTCTTTCAGACAAGTTGGGGCACCTGCAGCCAGGTGTGATCTCCATGTGTAGGCAGAGAAGAGATCCTTCACATCCCAGGGGAGATCACCAGGTGTAAAGTCACTTCAGACCCATGCACTTTCATCCTTGACAAGCTTCAGTGCTGCCCTGGGACCCTAAATGCTGTCACATTAAACCTTCTTGTGTTGACTTTCTTATATCCCCACGGAATAAGATCTAAATTTTTCTCCTTTTCCTGTCAGCCTCAAAGCAAATTTCAGAGTTCATTTACTGCAGGGCAAAAAACAAAACCAAAACCAAACAAACAAAAAACAAACAAACAAACCAAACCAAACCAAACAAAAACCAAAACCAAACGAACAAAAAAACCCCAACAAAAACAGAAAACCAACCAAACAAAAAATCAAACACAAACCCCAAAGAAATCATAGAAATCCCAGAATGCTTTGGATTGGAAGGGACCTTAAAGATCACCCAGTTCCAAGCCCCTGCCAGGTGGCTTTGGAATGCTTCCCCCTTTCTGGGGTGATGCAAAACCTTCCTTTTCTGTGTCTCCTTGCCTTGTTTTCCTGCAGTGGCAGCCCCAGCACCCCTGACTGGAGCCCCTCCTGCCTCAACTCTGGGTCTCAAATGCCTCCTCCAGACACTGCTCTGACAAAACCTCCTCTCCCTCCCCCTCAGGTTTGTCTCAGCTCCCTGAGCAGCTGCTTTTGTGCTGTTCCCAACCCCCCAGAGTTTGCAAACACGAGCCCAAACCACAACAGTTCCGGTTCCTCCTTTCCTGCATCGCTTCTCGGAGTGGTTGTTGAAGTGAAAAGGCTCTTGTGGAAAAGTTGTTTCAGCTCTACCCAGGCTTGTGTTGATCTCTGATGGCTGATACCAATGTACCAGTGTGGGCTTCAGATGACTCAGAATCCCAGGATGGGTCAGGCTGGAAGGGACCACAGTGCCCCATCTGGTCCCACCTCCTGCTCCAGCAGGGCCATCCCAGAGCACCTGGCACAGGAATGTGTCCAGAGGGGTCTGGAATGTCCCCAGGGAGGAGACACCACCCGCTCTCTGTTCTCTGGTCAGTGCTGGGTCATGTCCAGGTGGAGCTTCCTGGGCATCAGTTCCTGCCCATTCCTCCTGTGCCATTGCTGGGCCTCCTGAGCAGAGCCTGGGCCATCCTCTGCCCCCTCCCTGCAGGCACTGACACACCCTGGGGAGGGCCCCTCTCAGGGTGTGCTCTGGGGGCTGCACAGCCCCAGCTCCCTCAGCCTTTCCTGCTCCCAGAGATGCTCCAGCTCCACCTCCACAGCCTCTGCTGCTCCAGGAGCTCCACATCCCTCTTGCTCCATCCTCCTTCTGCTGGCCGAGGAAACGCCGTTATTAATTACAATTTTATATTATAATAATTTTATACTTAGATATTTTTATAATTAATTAATTAGAATTGATACACTGAGAACTTTTGCCTCGATATTTCCTTGCCCAGCATTTTAAACCCTCCGTGTTCTCCTCCCTGGGAGACTCATCCTGCATTTGGAGCTGGGGCCGTTTCAGGAGCCCTGGAAATAAATCTGCTGATGGGATGCTTGGCCCAGAGCCTCTAAATTGTGCCTTTTGCTTTTGTTCTCCCAGGTCATGAGTGTTTTGCTGCTGATTGAGTATTCCCTGGAGGTGTCCAACGGGAAGGGTTTCTGCAGAGACCTGGCCAAGGATTACTACAGGATCGGTGGGTCCCTGGGGTGCTGGGGGCAGCTGGGGAGGGGGGTTTGGAGGGAGCCCAAGGCCCTGCACTGGTCCCTCTTCCTTTTTCAGCAGAGAAAATGAGAAACTGCTCTTCCCAGCAGCAGGTCCCAAAGCTCAGACATGGAATCCAGGCTTCCAAATTTGGATTTGGGCTTGTTGGAGAAGTTGCCTTTGTTTCAGTGGATCAGCACCCTCACCCCCCTTCACTCCCCCTGCAACACGTTTGGTATTCACCTCCCAATCCCATTTCCTCCCCCATTCCCAGATTTTCCCAACTCCTGGTGTTGTTTTTTTTAAGAACACAGGTTGCAGCCAGGCTGGTTTGTATCCCACAGATATTCCTCCTGGTTGATTGAATTCCTGTGTCTGGAGCTCGGAAGGATCTCACTCAGCTCTCAGAGATCTGCCAGCTCTCTCACGTGGGGTGCCATTAAACAGAAAACAACTCCCCAAACCTCAAATATTGCTTCACCAGCTTATTCTGCACGAGGCTCTCTGGAAACCACAAGTTCAGGGTGGTTTTTTTTTTCGTTTCCTGGGTCCCTTCTCAGCACAAAACCACAAGATGAGATAACCTTTCTCTGCTGTGAGCACCAAGGAGGAAGCCAGGCTCCCTCACCCTGAGTTGTCTCTCCCTGGGGAGAAAAAAACCCCACATTTTTCCAGTGAAAAATACAACTTCTGGCAGCAGGAATTGCTTGTCCCCTGCTTTTTTCACTGTGCCCTTCCCCAGGCTGCAAGACTCCTGTAAGTGGAGGAAGAGAAAACCAAACTCCCTTGTCCCTGGAGTGGGAGTGAGACAGAGGGGAGAGCACCAAAGCAGGAATAGTCACTGTCTGGGGAATTTATGATGGGTTCACAACTTTCCTAAGCCCCAGCTGGGGTTTAGGAGGCACCACTGGGCTGTTTTGCATCAGCACTCAGGGGGTTGTTTCACAAAATAAGACCAGGGAATGGTTTGGGTTGGAAGGGACCTCAAAGATTGTCCAGTCCCAAGACAAAAGGCATTTACAGGGAGCAGAAGATGGAATTTTGGGTGAGTGCTGCTCACAGGACACTGAGGGAGGGGCTGCTTTCAGGGTTCACACCTTTCACAGGGAGAATTAATTCCAAATATCCCAGTCTGGGGGGATTTGGAGGCTCCTTTGCTCTGTGACCCACAGAGGTCCCTCAGCACCCAGTGCAGAGTGGAAAATGCCCTTTCCAGAGCCTTCCCATGGTGGCAAGAGCCCAAAGAGGCTCCAAACCTGGCTGTTTTCCAGGGAGATCAGTATAAGACAACCAGGAAAATCCAGTTTTCCATTTCTATAACGTTTTTCATTTCAGTTTCTGAAGCACAGGGTGCCAAGTGGGACCTTAAGCCCTTCCTTCCTTGTTCAGTGTTTGGTTGTTTTACTGTTTTATGGAGGTGTTTTTGGTTTTGATTTTTTGATTTTTTTTTGATGGGTTTTTTGTTTGTTTCTTGGTTGGTTTTTTTGTTTGTTTGTTTGGTTTGGTTTGTTGTTGTTGTATTTTTGACTGATTTATTGGTTTTGAGGTACCTGCCTTGGACATGGCCATGGTCACACAGAGTTTGTCCTGCTGGTGGAGCACACACAGAATCCTGACTAACACAGTGACACTGAGCAAGCCATTTGCAGCTCGGAATATTTTCCCACAGACACAGTTCTGTAAAAATTACAATTGTTTTTCGTTATTTTTTGCCAAAAAAAGATCATCTGGGGCTGATAATTTTTCACTTTTTTTTCCCCAAGCATCAAAGATGCTTTAAAGAAAAAGAAACAAGTGGTGGAGACAGATTTTTGCAAGTAATTTCCAGGCTATTCTGTGCTTTCTAAGCAAGATTTCTGCCAATCTGGAGGGTCTCCTTTAAGAATAGAACTGTTCTGAGGGAAATTGGCCCCGTTTTTAACACTGCCCTTCCCACACGATCAAAATGACAGGTTTGCCCCTCCCCCTTCTTCCACTGCCTCCTACACACACAAAAAAAAAAAGAAAAAAAAAGGAACATTTTCTAATGAAATCCCCAGCACTTCCACTTGGCTTCTCTTCCCAAGCATTTCAAAGGGCTCTGCTTGGGAGATCGTGTTTTCTGATTAGAGCTGGAATAAACACAGCACAGCCCTTCTGGTTCCAGAAAGGAGCAGGGAAGCGACACAAAAAGTCCAATCCCGCTTCCAAAACCCAGATGGAAGAGCTGGAGAACAATTTGGGGAGAGGTTCTGTGGCTGCCCTGAGCATCTGCTGCTCTGTTTGGAGCTCCTGCCAGATTAAAACACACCTCAAACATAATAATAATAATAATTCCAAGCTGCAGCCTTGGCCCAGGAATATAAACGAGGGAAGATTTTGCTTTTCACATCATACAGCAGGAAAATAAAAACATCCAGGTTTTTTTGACTAAGGAATTGCACTGTTGGTCCCAGGAACGTGGTCTCCAGGATCTGCAAGTGCCTCAAAGCCCAGAGATCTCCAGATCTGCTTCTGGAAGGTCACCTGTCAACCCTGCCAGGATTCCAGGTGTCATTTGTCCTGTCGTGGAATGTCCAAGGATTCCATGGATTCGCACACAGGGCTAAGAACCAACAGCTCCCACCACCTGAGGGGGGTCCCTCCCTCTGAAATGTGCCCCCACAGAGGAACTAATCCTGTTGTTGGAGTCAAATCCTTGATTCCTGAGATCCAACCCATGGTTCCATCCCACCCCTGGAACGGGATGGGATCAGCCAGCAGGAAGCATTTTCTGTGACAAACAGGAGGCAGACAGGGCCTGGAAAGTTGTTTTTCTTTTCTTTCCATCCCTTTGTGCTTGTAGGATTGTAGTGGGGGGTTTTTTGTTGTTTTATTGAGGGTTTTTTGATCAAGGTTCTGCTTGGAAAATCCAGCTGGGCTCTGCCAGCAATTAACCCCCAGAAGCCAGTGGCCAGTTGCCCAATTAATTAACGAGCTCGTGGAGAGAGAGCTGGAGCATGAGAGCACGGAGAGGGAGGCAGAGCAACACAGGATGCAAGGAAACACCGTGCTGAAGACATAAATCCTCCCTGGAGCAAACTCTGAGCGCTGCTTCTGGGAGAAAAAAACTCCCAGAAAAAAACAGGGAAAAATCTCCAGGCAGCTTGGCTTTAACAGGCCTGGGCTTGGCTCTTTTGGGCTCTTCCTGGCTGCTTTGTTAAGCTCTGCTTAGCTTGGAGTTTAGGCTGTGCTGAGTTAATCTTTATTCTCTGAGTACCCCTTGTTTTTGCTCCCCTGCTCCTCAGGGGTTTGCCTGGAAGCTGCAGCTCTTCCCCTGGGAGCTGCAGGGCTGGGAGCAGCCCCTGGGGCAGGGGGAAAGCAGCTTTGGGTCGAGCTGCTCATGATAGTTCTGATTTCCTTCCAGAGGCAAAGCCCTTTTACCCTGTCACCCTTCCTGCTCTCAGTCAGGGTTTGCTGGATTTGGGAGGGGTTTCTTTGCTGCTTCCTAAGATTTCTTCCTCTTCTGCGTTTCAATTCTCATTATTCAGTGATAAACAGCTCCTGCACTTGGGTTTGGTTTTTTTTTATCATTCTATAACTAAAAGCTGGTTTTTTGCTCTGTGCTTACATCATATTTTCACAATTCTCTTTTCCTGATGCAGGTCAAATGTTTGTTGGATACTTTTGGTCACTCCCTTAGGTCTGGGATGTCTCTCCCTGCTCCATGTGCAGCAGCTCCTGTAGGTGCTGCTCCCTCCCCTCTCCAGATAAGCTATTTTTGAGGGGTGCAGCCTCCTCAAGGGGTTTTCCCCTCAAACACTAGAAAGGAAGAGGCTCCCTGTGCTCAGGGAAGGACGTGCTGGTCGGAGCTTCTTTCCTGACTTAAAAGTTCCCTGTGAGCAAATCTCATTCCCAGAGGAGACTCAACTGTGTTGTCAGCTCCTGAGGGACAAAGGAATTTAAAATATCTTCTCATTTAAATTAAACTGAGTGAATGAAAGATGTGAGGAGCATTGCTGGTGGTGTCACCAGCCCTTGCTGCCAGATGTAGCTCAGCCCAGCTCTCAGGAATCCCAGAATCCCAGAATGTGCTGAGCTGGAAGGGACCCCCAAGGAGCATCCAGTCCAACCCTCAGCCCCAAGAGTCACCCCCTGTGCCCCAGAGGATCAGCCAAAGCCTCCTGCAGCTCTGGCAGCCTTGGGGCTGTGCCCACTGCCCTGGGGAGCCTGTTCAGTGCCCAAGCAGCCTGTGGGGGAAGAACCTTTCCCTGAGATGCCACCTGAGCCTGCCCTGACACAGCTCCAGCCATTCCCTGGCTCCTGGTGGTTAAAATTTGTGCCTCTTGTCTGCTTGGGCTCTTGAAGATCCTTCCCCAAGGTTTCACTGTTAACTTTATCTGTTTTTGAGTCACAAATAATTTCCAAGCTCTGACTCATTAACTGAAAACACCCTGCCTTTTTATTTCTGCTTCATTTTACCTTAATATCTAAAATTTCAGTCCTTGGCTCCCTCGTGCCTGAGCTCAGAGCCTGCATGACCTGGTGGCTCAAGAGACAGAAACTTCAAAGACAGATTAAAGAGTGGGTTTAAAAAGGGGAGAAAAAGGGTTAATTCCAGCTGCATGACACCCATTCCCACCCCCCACCCCCAATTCTTTGTGCCAGGTCATCACAGTTTCTCTCTCCCTTAGAGCTGTGATTGAATTGACACAGCAGCTTTTGGTAACATGGTAATTACTTTTATTGCTTTCAGCCGATGTTGTCACCAGTTTCCTGCTGATCATCATGTTGTTTGTCATCAGCTTCAACCTCCTCCTGGGTGTGCTGAAGGTAAGATCCCCTCCACAAGTGACATTTAGCTGCTGGCTCAGGCCTGTCCCGGGTGGGAGGCTTTGGAGGAGGGGGCTGGAAGGTGTTCACTGAAATATGATCAGAAAAGCAGATAAATCTCTGTGTCACCGTGTGGGAGGGGGACTGTTTGCAGTCACAGACTCATCTTCCAGGCTGCCAAATGCCAGGTTTACCAAATCTGGGCAGCATTTCCATCAAGGTTAATTTTTGTGTGGGTTAAGGAATGGAAATGCTATGGCTGGGAATGTTTGATTGCCTCGTTTCCTTGCTCTTTGGCAAGTCAGATCCCAAAGAGGACCTGTAACTCCCCTCTTCTCTCTTCAGGAGGAGAAATGACAATGCCTCGGGGTGGAAACCCAAGTAATTTGGTGTCAATACCAAGTTTAAGCCCTACCCAAGCAGCAAAGCTCTCCCTCAGAGCTTGGTCCCTCAGCTCTGATGGGATCAAATGACAGTGCCAGAGTGAAAACTCACAGTGTGTGTGGAACCAGGTGCAGAAATTCCAGGGATTCATTTAATCCTGGAGCACCTTAATGCATGTCCTGTCAGGTCTCATTCTCCCAGCTGGAATAGAAATGACTGGAATTGCTTTTCTTCCTCAGAGGAGGGAACGTCTCCTGATCCCCTTCCTTGCCCTGCAAGTCATAGACTTCCTGCTCAGCCTCCTGACCGTGTTCAGCTCCTACCTGCAGGTCCCAGTGATCCTTTCTGTGTCCTCCCTGAGCCACACGGTGGGTGACAGCTTCTTCTGGGGGGTCTTCTCTGCTTTTGATCAGATGGAGAGTGGAGGGAATAAAGGATCGTTATTTTGGGCCCCAATTCTTCTCAGAATCACTTGGGTTGGAAAAGACCTCGGAGAACATCAAGTCTGGAGGCAGGATGCAATCCAGGCTGGAGGGTTCATGAGGAAAACTAGTGACAGCTGGGGCATTTAGCTTCCCATGTCTAAAAATCTTCCTGGTGTTTCTGGGAAGGGTTTGCTGGAAAACTGGGACTATCAGTGCTCCAGGCAGGGGCCTCTTCTGTGGAGCTTGCCTAAATCAACCCACCAAGGTGGTTTGCTCCCCATCCTGGCCAGAATAAGTGAATTTAACAGCGTGAATAAAGCACAGGCCCCTGTGTAAAATGGGAAGGAACCTCTAGAAGGGCCACAATGCTGTAACCACAACCAAATTCCCGTTGCAGCAGGGGCGCTCCAAGATCCCTCTCCTGGCTCTGCAGCTGCTGGACTTCTGCCTGAGCATCCTCACCCTCTGCAGCTCCTACATGGAGGTGCCCACCTATCTCAGCCTCAAGCCTTCAGACAGCGGGGTAGGTCACGAAAAATCATGAGATTTTTTTCATGCTCTGAACTCCTGCAAAGTTTCCTTCAAGATTCCACTTCCTCTGGTCTCTCTGTTCGACCACAAAAGAGGTTTTTCCGTGAGTTCTCCCCCACCACGGTGTCCCTTGACTGACAGCTTGTTTATGCCTTAAAAGCACACCTCGTTTTCCTTGTCAGGATCTTCTGGATGCAAATTGCAGATGCAAAATGATTTGGACAGACCTGCCATGCAGCAACTTTTCACCTCTGTTAAACAGTCCTGCTTTTTAATTCTCATTGAAATCATCTGCTGGAAGGTGTTTCTCCTTGGGAAAGGGAGGTTTTCCTGATTCCTCAGGGACCTTGAACACCATCACTGTGCCTGACCCTGGCAGAGGGGACTGGTGTTTGTGGCTGAGACCTTCTCCCTCTTTCCACAGGGATTTTTGCCAACCCTGGAGAAGCTGCCAGCAGAGGAATATGCCAAAGTGATGATCACCTTCACCATCGCCTTCATCGCCGTCCTCTTCCTCAAGGTAAATGCTGGGGGGGCTGAAATGAAGCTCCTTTATCTGGGGAATAGGAAAATTTGGGGTTACTTCTCTCCCAAATCTACCAGGGCATTGGAAAGCCTTGTTGGTGTCTCCAACAGGAGCTGGTCTGAGGTGGGATAATATCCAAATCCCTGGGTTTTTGCTCCTGCAGATGCGAGTTAGAAAGTTACAAAATCTCTCTTAGATCCAAAATAAGAGTTATAAAACCTCTCTTACATCCAAAAACTCTTGCTGCCCATTCATCTCTAGAAGGATCAGAGGGTTGAAGGCAAATATATTAGGAAAGCATTCTGCTGCTGTGGGATAAAATAAATCAGATTATTAAGCAGTGGGTTGCATTTTCCACTGGGGTAAGTGGCTGTATCCACACTGGGGTGAGCAGAGTTCTGCACTGACACCCTGGAAGTTCATTAAAAGCAGCAGCTGCTGAATCCTGCAGGCTCCTGACTGTGAGATGGTTTCTATTCCTCTTGCTCCAGCGGATCAGAGAGCACATTTTTCACTGAGGGGTTTCAGGCCCACTGAGAAACCCAGATCTCTCCAGGTACTTGGGCAGGTTCTGTCACAGTGAAAAATGCTGCTTGTTAGTTGGAAAACACTTTATATTCTTCTATTCTGACTCTTCTCAGGTGGCCAGATAAGGCAGGGTGGAGTGTCTTGTCTTGTGTGGTTGCACTCCAGGCATGGCTTTAGCATATCTTGGAATATTTGCATGAATTATGGAACAGCAGTGGAGATAACCCTGCAGCAGTGGGGTCTGCAGCAGGAATCTCACTGACCTGGCAAATGGGCTGCTTTGAATTTTCCACAGGATTAGGTCCAAAACTGCTTAACTTGCACTGACTCCTCGTGCTGGAGTTTGGAGGAGGAGGGGTGGAGGAGGATAATTAAAATAACAGTGGACAGGTACAGGTCTCTTCTAAGTACCCCAAAGTATTGCCCCCTGTAATAAAATCAGCCCCAATAACGTGGAAAGTTCTCAAAGAAAAGATGTTTCCAAACCAAGTTCTTTAATTTCCTATCTCAGTTTTTAATGGCACTGTCTCTTTTGAGTAGTTCCCTCTCTCCTCAGTTATTTATCCCTTTTTCTCCTCACAACTCCTACCACGGCATCCTCTGCTCCCTTGGGTGCTCTTGAAATGCAACCAAAACCCCAAACCAACCCTTTGGACTTCTCCTGGTCTGCTGAGCTCCCCCAAAAACTCCCCCAAAGGAAGCCCATCCTTTAAACCCAGTGACAATCCCAAAGACCTCGATGAGAAATGTGGCCACCATGAAACATTTTATGATAAAGACCTGATGAGAAATGTGCCGAAGAACATGAAATATTTTAGGCCTAAAAAAGGCCATTAGGCCAATTTAGGGCCCATTGGTTTCAACCCACTGAATGCCCACACCAAGGTATTCTCTAAATCACGTTGGACTGAGATCTTTTTGCATAAATGGACTTGCTTAACGACCCATCCCAAGCATTTATTGCCCTAAAATGGTTCTGGGTGTGCTGCTCTTTGCTGCCAGCTTGCAGTTACCGTCCCCAAATTGTTGCCTGCATCCCACACCGGGGCATAGCTCAGCTGAAAGGGGTCTGTCACACGGAGAAGATGGGCCACCTGCCCCACTGACTCTGCCAGAGACCTCGTGGGAGGCCCTGCAAGGCTCCCCTCATCCTCTTGGCAGGGAAGATTTCCTGCTGGGAGGTGCTGCTGCTCCTCTCCCTCCTCCTCCTCCTCCATCACCACGGTGATAATGCAGGGAAAAAAAAGGGGAATAAAGCATTTCTGCTGGGAAATGAAAACAGGCTTTGACAGAAGTGCTTCTGAAGCTGCTCCTTCCTGACCTCCAGGATGAGCTTTCCATCCCCTCACTGAGCCAACAGGTGCCAGAGGAGTTTCCCCTCTCCAACCCAGTGTGGAGAAAGGGGTCCTGCAGTGCCTCAGGAGTGGTTTGGGATGATCCCAAGGTCTCTGCCTGCCTTTAGATAAGCTCTGGACTGATGTATCTGCTCAAACCTTCAATTGCTTTGCAGGAGTCGATGTCATTGAACCCACTGCTTGGCACTGCAGCAAACTGCTCCAGAATCAAACCCAAGGAATGGATTCTTTTGTAGCTTTAATTTCATTTTATTTCATTTCATTTTATTTTATTTTGTATTTTGTATTTTGTACTATTTTATTCTATTCTATTTTATTCTATTCTATTTTATTCTATTCTCTTCATTCTATTTTATGCCATTTTATTGTGTTCTATTTATTTTATTTTATTCTATTCCATTTTATTCTATTCTATTCATTCTATTTTATTCCATTTTATTCTATTTATTTTATTTTATTCTATTTTATTCCATTTTATTCTATTCTATTTTATTCTATTGCATTCTATTCTATTTTATTTTCCTGGCCTTTCCTCCCCAGCTGAGTGGAGGTTTTGACACAGGTTGTGTGACACCTTCAGTGCCTTCCCCATCTCCTCTCTGTACGAAGAATCTTTTGGGGGCGGGGAGGTTTTTGCAGCATCCCCTAAAGATACTCAAGGATTTTCCTCCTCATCCCTGGCCCTTTAAAATCTGGATTCCTTCAGCCAGATCCTCATTCCCTGCTCTCATTCTTTGTCTTGGCTCCGTGTCCCCTTCGTCCCAGGAAACGCTCTGCTGATTTTTGGGACATACAACTCCCTGTGTTCCTCTGCAAAGGCCAGGGTGGAGCCTCAGGCCAAGGAAAACAAGAGGCACACGACTCCTGCTGCCCAGAGGAGGGGGAAATATTGATTTAGCAGGGGGTGTTACACAGACTTGCTTATTTTCATGTGCCACGACCCATCAATCGGGCCATTTTTCCGAGAAAAGCTCCATTTACTGCGCCGGGAGGTGCGAGGAGGTCCTGTCAGAGGAGTGGAACTGTTGCAAGGACGGGGTTTGGTTGGATAAACTCACTTTTTGGGTCAGTCCGTGAAGCCTTGGATCTCTGGAGGGGTGGATGTTGTGCCTGAGGTGCTTTTTGAGACGTCCAGGCACTGAAAAACAACATTAAAATGTGCTTTCCTTTCCTCCTGGTGACACTGTGCTGCCAGGGGTCACAGACATTTATTTAATGTGCTTTAAACATCCTGAATGTGCTGGAAACTTTACATTTAACATGTTTTAAGCATGATATTTAATATGCTTGAAACATGATATTTAATATGCTTTAAACATGGTATTTAACATGCTTGAAACATGATATTTAATGTGCTTGAAATATGATATTTAATATGCTTGAAACATGATATTTAATGTGCTTGAAACATGATATTTAATATGCTTGAAACATGATATTTAATGTGCTTGAAACATGGTATTTAATATTTGAAATATGATATTTAATTTGCTTGAAATATAATATTTAATATGCTTGAAACATGATATTTAATATGCTTGAAACACGATACTTAATTTGCTTGAAATATATTTAATGTACTTGAAATATGATATTTAACATACTTGAAACATGATAATGATATTAAATGTGACATTTAAATATGATTTGAAACATGATATTTAAACATGATATTTAATGTGATTTAAACGTGATATTTAATGAGCTTTCGATGGCAAAAGTGGGAATGCTCTTGTTGACCTGCAAGGCAATGGAAAAAATGCTATTTTCCCTTTTTTTTTTTTTTTCAGGCCTATATGTTCAAATGTGTCCTGAGCTGCTTTAATTATATCAAAGCCAGCAAGAGAGAGGAGGTCAAAGTCGACCCACAAGCAGTTGAAAAGGTGAGTAAAAACTGCTTTAGATTTTGCACCACGAAAAAGCACAATTTCAGACTCCTGAGATCCCTGGTGACCCTTCCCTGTCCTTCTCTGGTGGTCTTAGAGAGAGCTCAACCCTTCAAATGTGCATTGGCAGGTGCTAATCATCACTTTCCAATTATGTTATAGCACCTATATTATATATTTATATTATTTTTGTATGAAATCTTTCCAGGGACTCTGCAGCTCAGGCCTCAGGCCCAGCAGATAAATGGGAATATATCCCTTGTAATCTCTGTGGGTTTAATTACAGCTGAACTTTGGGCTCTGTGTCCAAGAGTTAAACAAACTGAGCTTGTCTTCACCTTTCCCAGTGTTGGTGTCTGAGTGATTTGGTGCATTGCCCTTCACCTTAATGATTTGATAAGTGATGAATCTCAGTGTCCCTCCTGGGATTAGTGATGATCTCTCCATGAGCAGCTGCTCTGATATGATGGAAAATTATTGAATCACGGAATATCCTGAGCTGGGAGGGACCCACAGGGATCATCCATCCAACCCCTGGCCCTGCCCACACACCCCAACAATCCCACCCTGTCCCTCAGAGCGTTGTCCAAACCCTCCTGGAGCTCTGGCAGCCTTGGGGCTGTGCCCACTGGAAGTTGGGAACTTCTACGAGGTCTCCAAGACCTTTAACACTGTAAAGATGGATGAGAAGCGAAGAAGGAGGATATGGAATGATAAATGTGGGGGTTTGTCTTGTTGAAAGTTGGGAAATAGGATGAGCCTCGACCTGGGCCCTCTGCAGTGACCTGAGCTCAGCTGCTTTGCTGATGTTCTGCACATCAAAGGGTCTTTGCTCCATTTATTTCTTCAGGACATGGGGGTGGGACTGGCAGCAAAGTGGTTCTAAAGTGCTGCCCTCCATATCTTACAGTGGCTCTTTCACCCTGCTTTGAACCAGGGGCAGAAACACATCCAAGCTCAAACCCAGAGCATAACTGATGGTCTTCTCTTCCAGGCTGTGCTGCCATCCTATGAGGAAGCCTTGGAGGTGCCTTCCAAGGAGTCCCCACCACCTTATGTGACAATCTAAGCTCTGCTCTGGGGGGAAACCAAAACCTGTGCTGCTGGTGGTGCCTCTTTCCCCCTCCTGTCAGACAGTCAGTCCCACTGAGACATCCTTGCTCTGGAGCAGCTCCAGGATCCCAGCCCAGCCCAGCCCGCTGTGTGATCCTGCAGAGTGGTGGGATTTGCTGCCTTGTCCCACCCTGGCAGTTTTGGCTCCCATTTATTGCTCATTTTAGCAGCCTTGGCTCCAGGCCCCGCAGAGATTCCCGAGCCTGGCTGTGCTGTGTGGCTGATGTGACGTGCAGGCAGTGGCCTGAAGCCCTCCCAGCCTTGCCTTCTGCCAGCAAGATGCTTTTTCTCCTCTGTCTCACACAGAACTGAGGTATTTTGGGAGTTGGGATGGGGGGGGAAAATGAGTGAGAAGCTTTTCTGTGCCACAGCCCAGCCCCGAAGCTTTGCCAGCCAGACCCTGTGGCAAAGGGAGCAGCAGGAGAACGAAGATCTCCCATGAATTATGACCCAGCTCTCATCCTTTCTCCTCCTGATGAGGATCCAGCACTCTGGGGTGGTCACAGTGTTGCTCTGCCATTTTATACCTGAGCAGTTACATTTTATGTTTTGTTTTTTTTTTTTTGCTTTTAATGTGACTTGGAAGATGACTTTCAATTAAGAATAAAAAATGTTACTGGCTTCACCACTTTGCTGTCTGATTTCTGCCTGGTGGGGTCTGATTTCTGAATCCCGGTGTCCTGGCATTCTGGAGTACCCTGCAAGGAAGCAATAGTTTGCTTTCCACGAGAAATAATTGGCAAAAATGGTGCTTTGACCTTGGTGTGACGTTATCACACGTGTGTGTGTGCTGCTTGCAAAGGAAAAACTGGTATTTTTAACAGCAAACCTGGCAATTTTATCTAAAAATCTTCCTTGATCCTCCCTCTTCTACATGTGCTAAAGATCTGTGGCGTGTTCACAACTGACTGTGCACAGAGCAGTCTCTGCAGGTGTCAGTGCTGGTGACAGATGAGCAGAGACCAAATTCCAGGCACCTCTCATCTGCTTTGGGTTGTCACCTGCTTTTTTAAAACAACTCAGCAGGGAAGTGCAGTTTGCTCAGTAATAACTACTCCAGCATCATCCACAGCTTGGATCACAGCCTGGGGTCTTTGTGCTGCTCTGGAACAAAACAAAACAACAAGATTCGAGGGAATATTTGCAGAGAATAAATAAGAAACGTGGTGCTGCCCCGTGGTCTTTTCACTGGGGGGGCGTGTTTATGCATGTGGGGATGGAGATAATGATGTTGGTTATCCACTTTTGAGCTGGTTTGCTCATCACTGGGAAGAAATGATGATTCTCTGGGCTTCATCTTCTGTGTTCTGGCAACCAGGATGCTCAAAACCAGCCCTGAAGTTTGGAAGGCTGCACCACAGTGACACCTTAATGGCTCCAGTGCTTTTAAATATGCTCAAAATCACCCACAAAAGCACACAAAGAGCACAGAAATCACCCACAAAGGTACCAGCCACTCAAATTCTTCAAGGCAGAAAATAATTCTTCTCATCCTAAGTGTGGCAATTGTGACCAAAGAGCAAGAGATCAACCCAAAATCCAACCAGGAAACCTTGCAGAGGAGTGTGAAGAGCCCAGCTTTTTGCATCAAGGTCCAGCCCAGGCTCTTGCTTTATTATGTGGAGAGATAAAACACTATCTTTAATTCTGAATAATCAATAGGCTCCAGAACCTTCCAGACAAGCCCTCTTGGTCTCTAGTCCTGAACACCTGGCTGAAACTGCTTCTGATTTGTCTCCAGCCCAACTTTGTTCCAGTGCCCAAAGGCAGGGCTGGAGGAGGCCATGGGATGGGACACCTGGGTGCAGCTTCTCTTGGTAATTCAGGGAGGTTTTGGAAGCCCAGTCCTGCCCTAAAGGTTCCTCATCAGAGCCTGGGGGTGCTGAGATGGTTTGTGACAACCACCCCAGCACTGGGACATGGTCACCAGGCTCCTTCCACTGCCCAGGACCCACCCCATTAGCTGGGTCTGCCCAAGGTATTGTTGGGTCCAATTCCCTTGGTTTCTAAACCAGAAGAGGGTTCATCAATGTGATTCCAACCAAATCATGTTAAAAATGTGTACCAGGAGCTCTCTTTACTGAACCTGATGTTCCCAGACCAAGCCAGCCCATCCTTCTGCTGTGCAGTGTTTTCTCTCCAGGGCTCAGAGCAGTTTCCCTGGCTCCAAACCCCCCTGAAATGTGATAAAATGTATAGATTTATTGTGAGCTTCCAGCCAGGTCAGGGGCTGAGCTCGAGACAGGAAGTGGTTTTGGGTTTTCTGCAATGTTGGGGGACTTGGCCAACACAAACTGAACACAAGCTGTCCCAAACCTCTCAACGAGTCAGAGCGTGGCACTATCAATGCTGGGTTTGAGCCTGATAAAAGGTTCTTTTTCATATGCCACTGTTGCCCTGTTTTTGCTTCTCTAAACTGATTTACTGAGGTGAGTCTCAAATACAGGCCGAGAACCAGCTCACACAAATATGTTTAATGCTGCTCCAGGTGTTGTTTTTAGTTTTCCACTGCAGAGGAGAAATGAGCAGCAATTCTCTGATGGAGAGAGGAGATTGAGCTGATGATCTTTCTTTGATGGAGAGAGTAGATTGAGCTGATGATCTCAGCAACGCCAGGACAGATAAATAAGAGGGTCTTGACCAAACCAGCAGCATCTCATGGAGGTGGAGATGCTCCAGGACTCCAGAGATGTCCACTAAATGACCTGACCAACCTTGGCTTTCCACCCATCTGACCCAGAGCAAAAGCTCCAGTGGAAAAGGGGCTTTTTTTTGCTTTACAATTCTAGAATCATTAAGGTTGGAAAAGACCTCTGAGATCACCAAGTCCAACCATCAACGTGGCACCACCACTATGCTTTGTGTGTTGCCTCGAGCTCTTCTGCTGGAAGTGCTCCCATGCCCCATCCCCAGCCCTTTGGGCCAGCATTTGATAAACCTGTGCCCTGCTGGGAAGTGTTTCCTGCTGATGGAAGCAGCACATGTTGCTCCAGCAATCCAGGCCATCCCTTTTTGTAAGAGACTCCTTGACATGGAAAACTGATCCTGCATTTCTAAACTGGAAAACAGATTCTACAAACCCTGCTGGAAGTCAAACAGCGCCAAAGCTGGCAGAGAATCCAGTGCCAGGAAAGCCTGGGGAGGAGGATTGGAAGCATTTTTCCAGTGCTGGCTTCTGTCAGACTCGGAAATGGCATCTGGGAATGCGAGGGAGCTGCTGGAAGCCTGAGGAAAATGATGTGTAATGCACCGGGAACAGCCGTGCTCAGAGCCAGGCAGGTCGAGCCAGAGTGTCCACCGTGATGGAAAGGTCTCTCCCAGCCTGAGGGTGTTCTGATGGCCAGGAGTGGGTGTAAATAGACCTTGAAGAGGGCAGAGACAGCAGCTTGGCAGCATTCCCTGGCATCTCCTGGAGCTGACGTAGCCCGTGTGCTGGCCCTGGAGCAGGGGGAATCCTGGATGATGGATGTGTGCAATGTCTCCATGAGGCTGTCACTGCACAGTGTCCTGCACCACAGGGACTGTGTGTCTTGGTTTCAGGCTGCCTTGGTTCCTGATGGTTTGAGTGACACCTCTTAAACCCCTCAGGGTCCAACCCCCGAGCTGGGACAGGCACTGCTGTAAATTGTTTAAATCAAAGCGCATAAAAGGGATGGGCTTCATCGGGGCTCGTTGCAGACAGTTCATTAAGATAATTACTCACTTGCAGCAGTCAAATGGAGTCACTGCAAGTGCTGTCCCCAGTGGTGGGCCCAGGGTGACACAAACTGGCAGTGTGGTGATGCATCAAGCAAAGCTTTCCATCTTCACACTCATCCATCAGCCCAGGAGCCCCCACAGACTCCAGCTGAGGAACTCTCTCATCCATGTGTCTGCTCACAGGGGGGTTGGGGACACTTCTGTCAGTGAAAGTTATTGTATAATGATACTCCTCTTCCTGTGTGATCCCAGAGTCTTTATTGCTCCATCCCACTGGAAGTGTCCAAGGCCAGGTTGGACCGGGCTTGGAGCAACCTGGGATAGTGGAAGGTGTCCCTGCCCATGGCAGGGGGTGGAAAGGGATGAGCTTTAAGGTCCCTTCCAACCCAAACCATTCCAGGATTTTATGATTTTATGATTCCTACCCTGGTCCTTTTGTGTGGTTTGCTTTAATCCAGCAGTTATTTTGGCTCATTCACCTCAGAGAAAATGAGATGCCCACACAGAGACCACCTTCAGAGCTGGCACGTGTTATAGAGCTGCTTCATTCACAGCATCCCAGAATGTGCTGAGCTGGGAGGGACCCCCAAGGACCATCCAGTCCAACCCTCAGCCCTGCACAGGCCCAGCCCCAAGAGTCACCCCCTGTGCCCCAGAGGATCAGCCAAAGCCTCCTGCAGCTCTGGCAGCCTTGGGGCTGTGCCCACTGCCCTGGGGAGCCTGTTCAGTGCCCAACCAGCCTGTGGGGGAAGAACCTTTCCCTGAGATCCACCCTGAGCCTGCCCTGACACAGCTCCAGCCATTCCCTGGGGGCTGTCCCTGCTCCCCCAGAGCAGAGCTCAGTCCTGCCCCTCCTCTGCCCCTGCCCAGGCAGTTGGAACTGCACTGAGGTCTCCCCTCAGTCTCCTCTTCTCCAGCTGAACACACCAAGTGCCCTCAACCACTCCTTGTTCAGCCTCTCCAGCCCCTTCACCATCCTCATGTCCCTCCTTTAGTTGCTCTCTAACATCTTTAGACCTTTCTTACACCGTGGTGCCCAAAACTGGCCCTCCAAGCCACTTGTAGGACAGAAACAACCTCAGGGGATCCTGTGCCAGCCCAGGATTTTGTCTCTGCACAGGTGGAGAATTCCAGGCCCAGAGGGAGGACTTGAGCTGCAGGTGCTCAGCAGGAGAGCCAGGAAAAGTGCCCAGGAGGCAACTCAGTCCCTGGAGGGGGGGAGATGTGGGCACGGTTAACATGGCAAATAAAAACTGATCCCTCTGAAAGAAGCGTGACCCATAAAATACATAAACATGCCCCAGCCATAAACAGCATTTACTATTTACAGCATCAGAGCACGAGGATATTTGCCAGCTATTTGCAGCTTAAAGGATAAACAGCAGTTCCTTTGATCCTGGGCTGTTGGAAGGGTTATATTTAAAGCCATTCATGTCTCCCCAGCCCTTCACCCTTTACATCATTTGTTTTATGAAGGGCTGGAAATACCCACATTCCCAGTTACAGGGGTGCAGTAAATACCCTTTGTGGCAATGAAACAGGTTGGGATGGACCCCCCACCCCGTGCCAAACCAAAATAGAAACACTGTGGAGATAAAATACAATTGGAGCTTGGACTAAAAGGCACCTTTTTGTCCCCATTTCCCTGAGAATGGTGGGAAATGGAGCTGGGAATGCAGCTCAGGAACACTCACCTGGGAACATCAAAGGGAGCCTGAAACGGGCAAGAAATGAGGGAGAATTTTGCTAAGCCTTGGGGTTTTCTGCTGGCTGGAGGGCAGGGGAGCTGTGTTTACTACAACCAACAGCTTTGTTTGGAAGGAAATAAAAAAAAATCAACGGTAAACTACTCAGAATTTGGCTGCTTGTCCTTCCCAACCTTCTTCTTGCTCTGCTGCCTCAACCAGAGGGGCTCAGCCACCCTCCAGAGCCCTTCTGAGGAGGGTTTATGGGCCAGGGCTACCAACACTGTGCTTTTTTTAAAAAAGGGATAAAGGAAAACACAATATTTTAAAAGCTTGGAAAAGACCCCTGAGATCATCAAGTCCAAGCAGTCATCCACCAGCACCACCATGTTCATCACTGAAGCACATCCTGAAGTGCCACATCCCTGTGGATTTTGAACACTTCCAGGGCTGGGGACTCCACCACTGCCCTGGGCAGCTGTGCCAATGTGTGACCACCCTTTCCAAGAAGGCATTTTTCTTAATAACCAATCTAAACCTCCCTGGCACAACTTGAGGTGATTCCCTCTCATCCTGCCTCATGTTTGAGCTCTACTGGCAGTCTGGAAAAATCTTGAGATCCCTGAATTTTTATTTATTTTTAAATTATCCCCCCCCACCAAAAACCTTCCCATTCTTCTGGGTCATTTCCATAGAAGCCCCTCAGGGTTTTTTTGGTTTGTTGCAGTGTGAGATTTCCACTGAGATATTAAATGTAATCCCCAGGTGTTTATTGGAAATATGTAAATACAGCAGTGAAACACAGGTTTAAAATAAAAAACGTGAGCCAAACAAACTGCAGGAGTAAAATGCCAAATCCGAAACAAGGAGCTGAAAATAAAATGTCATTTTTCTTGGCTTTGCCCACCTGATCAATATTCCTGTGCAGTGTTTTGCATACAGTGATAAAGAATCTGCATTTAGAGAGTTTTATGCCTTCAGACTCGCTTGTCTGATGACAAATGAGAAGTCACCACCTTCCCCCAGCTCTAATATTGGCTGGGTTAAGATGTGCTTGGGTTTTTTTAGTGCTCTCAGGACTTAAACTGGGCTTTGCTCCTTCCTGGCCCTGGCAGATTCCACACTTCAGAGAGTGAATTTTGTCCTCAGGATTTACCAGACCAGGCAAAGGCTGTCAGTAAAATGAAGGATCCAAAGGAAGGTGCAGCACAGTGAGCAAACCGTGAGTAATTCTGGGGCATCACCTGGAGCTTTGAGGACCAGCCAGGGAAGGAAAACCAAACCCTCTGTCTTGACTGGGTGCAGAGGAAGGTGTTGGTCCTGCTGGGGAGGACAAGCTGCATGTCCTGACCACATTTTGGAATTGTTAAGGTTGGGAAAGACCTCTGAGCTCAAGTCCAACTGTCGACCCAGCACCACCACCACGTTCACCACTAAACCACGTCCTCCAGTGCCACATCCACACTTTCTTGAACACCTGCAGGGATGGGGACTCCAGCACTTCCCTGAGCAGCCTGTTCTGGTGCTTTACAGCCCCTTCCCTGAAGAAATTTTCCCAATATCCAATCTGAGCCTCCCTTGGAGCATCTTGAGGCCGTTCCCTCTCCTCCTGTCCCTGTTCCCTGGGAGCAGAGCCCGACCCCCCCCAGCTCCCCCTCCTGTCAGGGATTGCAGAGCCAGAAGGTCCCCCCTGAGCCTCCTTTTCTCCAGGCTGAGCCCCCCCAGCTCCCTCAGCTGCTCCTGCTGCTCCAGCCCCTTCCCTGGACACCTCCAGCCCCTCCATGTCCTTCTTGTCATGAGGGCCCAAAACTGACCCCAGGATTCGAGGTGTGGCCCCACCAGGAGAGTCTGAAACCCTTGACTTCAGCAGGAGCAAGGTGGGACCAGGATCTTCTGGAAGAAGGGAAGAAAGAAGAGATCTGGTGTTTAAAACCAGTAGTTTTTAAATCAGGAGACATGGCTGTGTTGGAGGAGAGGCAAACCCTCGGTGTGCCCCCCAAGAGCAGCTCTGCCACTCTGGGGCCAGCACTGGCCATTAATGGTTTGTCTGTTTATGTTGCAGCCAGGCTGGGGGAAGAGCTTTAAATGCATATTTTCCTCTTGAAAATATCGAACCCAGTGTTTTCATTTTCGGGGGCCTGGGGGAAAAAAAAAAAAAAAAGATGTTTCATATTTTCCAAATAAACAGTGCTTTTACAGAGGCAGAAATGCAGACCCTGAGCACCCAGCACACCTTTGCCCCTCACAGTATTTTCAAAGTTTTAATGTGTGCCACAAGCCCTGCTAGTGAAAATATTCACCTGAAATGTATTTATCTTCCTTTCACTAATTAACAGCAAAATGACACAGAGGAACTCTATATTTTCCTCAGCAAGAACAGCCATAGAGGCTTCATTTATGGAGGGCTCTGAATGACCCCTATTCATGGCAAGGAAGTACTGTCTGCACCAAGAGATCCTTGTCTGCAGGGCACAGTGACAGAGCAATCTCATCATGGACAGCTCTGGGGCAAATCTTCCCAAATTTTAGGCCCTTGTTTCACTTTGTTCCCTGGTAGCTGTAAATGTAGGGGTGTAGGTGTTCTACATATCTGGGGAGAAAATGTAGCTCTGTGAATAAAAACACACAGGGATAGCAGTGAATATATATATATATTTATTTATATAGATTTATATATATTAGCACTCATCAAAATCCATGATTTTATAAACACATCCATGAAAGGCTTGAATAGAGGAGTCATGTGCCTGTATGTGTGTGCAAATATACATAGTTATTTATATATATATATATATATATATAAATACATAAAAGTAATCATGTTCATCACAGAATCACAGACTGGTTGGGGTTGGAAGGGACATTGAAAGGTCATTCCAACCCCTTTGCCATGGGCAGGGACACCTTCCACCAGCCCAGTTTGCTCCAACCTGGCTTTGGACACTTCCAGGGATCCAGGGGCAGCCACAGCTTCTCATGGGCAACCTGTGCCAGGGCCTGCCCACCCTCACAGCCAACAATTCCATCCCAATATCCCATCTAACCCTGTTTTCCTTCACTGTGAAGCCATTCCCCCTTGTCCTGGCTCTCCAAGCCCTTCTAAAACTTCCCTCCATCTTCCTCGTAGCTCCTTCAGGCCCTGCAAGGCCACGCTGAGGTCACCTTGGAGCTTCTTCTCCAGGCTGAACAATCCCAATTCTCCCAGCCTTTCCTCCCAGCAGAGCTGCCCCATCCCTCCTCTGGAACATTTGCTCCTTCTGGCTAAAATTTTCCATCCAGAGATGGTTGAAAGCCTGTGATTGATGGTTTGTACCTGGGAAGACCGTGGGACAAAGCCATGCTGGTTTTGCATGAGGACCTCGCCATCTTTCAGTATTTTAATGAACACTTTGAATGTTGTTGAAAGAGTTCAGAGCAGCCTGGCAGCTTCACTAAGGACAGGTCCTTTTTTTCCCTAATCAAAGAGCTTTTCTCCACGGGAGCTCTTGGGCTCTGTTGAAGAGCTTTTGGAGTAAAGAGAGACTTTGGATAAGGGAAGAGAAACTGGGCTTTGAGTTAAAGGTGGTTTGCCTGGCACTGCACTAACACAGCTCAGATTAAATGGCTGATTGATCCAAGGGTGTGTGGCTGGAAAGGTGAGCAAAGACTAATCCATCGGAGGAGAAGGGCTTTAATCAGCTGATGGTGTAAAACAGTAGTTAAAAAGAAGAAAACAGATGCACTGCTTTGTGTCCAACCCATCATTAAATTCCTCTTACCCTGGTACCAAATCTCCCTGCTGCTCTCTCTCAAAGAAAACACTGGATTTCAGCTCAACTTGCAGCATCATCAGTCTTATTTGTTAACTCAGATTACTGGCTTTTTGTGGCAGGAGCTGCATCTCCCTCCTGTGTACAGACCTGAACGCTGCAGTGAAAACCTAAATGCAGCTCCTGATCTGTTTGTCTGTCCCGAGTTCCCTCCCCATTTATCCAGTTTGGGCTCCAGAGCCCTTTCCCCTCCCTGCTCTGCTGCACCGAGGCACAACCTCACAGAGAAGGAACTGTTCCCTGCAGGAAGAAACTTATTCTGCATCCCACACTTTCTCCTGTGCCTGCCCAAGCCTTCCTCTCCTCTTGCTCTTCCTCTGCCCCCTGAGCATTCCCCCTCAAACGAAGCCAGAGGCAGCCAAGCCCCCCAATCCCACGGGCTGGTTTCCAGCACACGTGGGGGACTGAGAGGTGGTTTGTGTGATGCTGATCCCATTCCCCCCTTCCCTGGGCTTTGCCAGAGGAAGGACACGAGCCTGACACACCACAAACCGTGGCACAGCCCAGGGTTTGTGGCCAGGACCTGCTGATTGACGGGTGAACCCCAGTTCCCCAGGGCTGGGCTCACTGGTCCCACTGTTACGGTCCCAGATTCCCCACATACCATCCCGCTGCGGCTCTTTTATAGCTTCCCATCCCCTTCCAGCAGCAATGAAGCCATTGTGGAGGGATGGGGGCAGGCAGGGCTGGACATCCCCTCCCTCCCCACCTTCAGGCAGGGTTTTCTCCCTTGTCCCTCTCCCCTCGGAGCCCCCCCCGGCACATCACACGTGTCAGGGGCTGGCTCGATGCCTCCCCGATGAAGGGCAGGTTAATACCTCTGGGCCAAGGCTCCTGCTCTCCACTCCCCATCCCGCCTCCAGCTCCTCCACAGCCATGGACAGGATTTTCTGTGCCTTGCTGCTCTCTTTACAGCTCCTCCTGCAGAGCTACGACGTGTGCGGGGCCCCTCCGCAGCCCAGAGGTGAGTGGGGAGCGGGTTCCATCCTCAGCCTCTGCCACTTGTCCCGGCACTGGCAAGGAGGAGAAGGGAGAGGGAACACCCAACATCAGCCAGGGAAGCAAAGGAGCTTTCCCAGCTGTGCTCCCAAGGCAGCAGGAGCTGGAGCTGGGTTTGCCTCTGGCTGTTAACACGACTTTAGTGTGCGCCGAGGGACAGCGAGGTGGCACCAGGTCAGCCCCAGTCCCTCTGGTCCTGGCTGGAGAAGGCCCAGGTGGGAGAAGGGCTGTCCTCTGCCTCCCAGAACTTCTCCTGTGCCTTCCAAAACTGCCCCTCTCCCCAGCTCTGCGAGGGCTGGGCTGGCCAGGAGCTGGAGGAGGAGTTGGCCAGACCCCCCCTGCTCAGTCGGGTTCACCTCCCCGGGCAGGAAGGGCTGGATGAGGTCGATGAAGTTGATGAGAGCAGAACTTTCCTATGTTTTCCTTCATCCTAAGCAAAATCCTGCTCTGTTTGACTTTCCAAGTGGGGGTGTAGGGCAGCCAGGAGGGAGGGAAGCTACCTGCTCTGTAGCTTGCATGGCTCTAATTCCCAATTAATGTCAGCAAGTGCTGGACACCCAGGGAAGGGCTGGAGGGTCTGGTCCTGGGGAGCATCTTCCAGGGGCTCCAGGGAGCCTGGAGAACTCACTGCTAGAGGAGCAGCCAAGGCCAAAGTTAACTTTTGGGTATTAAAAACATCTGAACTGGTCTCGTGACGATGCACAGCACACATTTACGGGCAGGCTGAGGGTTGTAAGGCAGGTGTGACAGGGACTTCAGAGTTATCTGCTGCTCAGGGAGGGACATTTCTGCTACACTGACCCGTTTCTCCTCAGCAATTTGGGAAGGGAGAGTTATCTTTGCTGTGCTACTGAAGTCAGGAAATTAAACAGAGCAGTCATTCAGCTCAGCCCTTCTGCCCCTGCTAAAATAAACACCTTTTAGGTCTGGGTTACTCAGCAGCTTTCCTGCTCGTTTAATGAATATGGCAAAGATGCCCTGAAAGATATTTTCTGCTAAATCAGGGCATAAAGTTCAGCTATTCCTGCATAACTCCTAGTGTGGATGTTTTTAAAAATAGAAGGAGGTTTTATTTCTGGTTTAATTCAACTTTTAAATAAACTGTGCTGAGTCAAGGTGTCAATCAGAGCAAGTGTCCTGTCTGACACCTCCTGGAAATAATCAAGGCCTGTTATCAGACAGGCTGAAATCCCACCTGATATCCCTTCTTTTCCCTTCATTTCTCTGAAATATAGTTTAGTCTCATAAAAAGAGGTTGAAAACATTATTTAGGACAAAATCACAGAGCTTTCATGCAAAAAGAAACAGATATATATCAAAATTTCTACTGGATCCAACTGTTCCTAAGGAGGAAAAACCAGCTTTTCCTCCTTGGTTTGTCAGTAAATCCAGAGGGGATTCATCAGCTACACGGGGCAAAGGGGAATCTGGGCTTTATTTCTGATTTCTGATTGCAAAGCTTGGGAGCCTTTCCCTGTCCCTTCATTTCTCACCTGGAAAACGGGCACAACCAACCCCCGGGAAAGGGATTTTCGACACTGCCAAGTGAATTTTTCCTTCCTGTGCAACGAATCAGGGTGGGAAAAATGAAAGTCATCCATATAGGGAAAGGTTATATTGCATTTCAGAGGAAATTAGAGCAGCTGACAGAGCGACCACTGCCTGCTTCCCTTCTTTAGCATCTTTAGCAAGACCTTTCCGGGAGCCAGAGGCAGAATCAGCATTAGTGTCTCTCAGGAAACAAACTTGATTATATTCTTTATGGATATTTATTTTTATCTGCCTGAAAGACTGAAAGCTCCATTAGATTTCACACCGAGGACTCGCTATAATATTTATGTCATCATTTGGAACAGATTTGTTGGCCCAAAAGCTCCCATTTAAAAATCTGTCCACAGAAATGTCCTTTATGGTATCCCTGATGTAGTGCCTGGCTGCAGAAATCAAATATTAACAGAGCATTTGATGCCCTGATAGAGACAGGGTAAATGATGGGAAAAAATTAAAAGAACAGGATGCTGTAGATCTGGTGGGGGGGGGGAAATGGGACAATTCATTTAGAAAAGCATAAAAAATATCAGCCCTTTTTTTTTATGTTTTGCCACAGTTGAAAATGAGGATGGAAAACAGCACGAAAATGGGAAATTAAAGAAATAATAATAACAATCACTCAGCTTGTTGCACTGCTAATGCTTCCTGTTCCTACCAGCTCCTTTCCACGGTGGATGGTTGTGGGGTTGGAGAGATTAACTGTCAATTAGGTGGCTTTACAGCTCTGTGCCGGGTTCTCCCTCCCCAGCTCACAGACACAAACCTGTGCTGTGTTGCAGCAGTTTATTGCCAGTGCCATTAACTGAAAAACAGGAGTTTTTCATGTTGAGGTGGTTGATTAATCTGGGATTTTGGTGCTCAGCTGAACCTGAGCTGCTGAGGGTGGTGCCTGGTTCTGGTCATGCATGATGGAGCTCCCATCTCGTTAATTAACAGCCATGTGGATGGGAGTGTCTGACATTCCATAACCCCTTCCCAGGCTTTGTTTGGTGCATAAGGGCAGGCTCAGCTTTCACCTGGGATGGGGCAACCCTGGCTGTTCATGGAGACTGGGAATGAGAGGCTGGAAAGCAGGGCTGGGAAAGGGGCCCTGGGGGGTGCCAGTTGTAAGGAAGAGATTGAGCCATTGGAGAGTGTCCAAAGGAGGGAAGGAGGATGGGGAAGGGCCTGGATTTGAAGGTGTGTGAGGACACTGAGGGCACTTGGTGTGTTCAGCTGGAGCAGAGGAGACTGAGGGGAGACCTCAGTGCAGTTCCAACTGCCTGGGCAGGGGCAGAGGAGGGGCAGGACTGAGCTCTGCTCTGGGGGAGCAGGGACAGCCCCCAGGGAATGGCTGGAGCTGTGTCAGGGCAGGCTCAGGGTGGATCTCAGGGAAAGGTTCTTCCCCCACAGGCTGGTTGGGCACTGAACAGGCTCCCCAGGGCAGTGGGCACAGCCCCAAGGCTGCCAGAGCTGCAGGAGGCTTTGGCTGATCCTCTGGGGCACAGGGGGTGACTCTTGGGGTGCAGGGCTGAGGGTTGGACTGGATGGTCCTTGGGGGTCCCTTCCAGCTCAGCACATTCTGGGATTCAGTTCACAGCTTTATCCCTCCCCCTCTTCGCTGCCCCAAGTGGATAAGATTTCATCACTGACGTTGGTGACAGCCTGGGGTGACAAGAGGTAGAGACCAAGGCTGAACACACCAAGTGCCCTCAGTGTCCTCATGTGGTTCCATCCCTTCCCCCCCTTCACTGCCTTCCTTTGGACACTCTCCAATGGCTTCAGATCTTCCTTGTATTGTGCTGCCCAAAACTGCCCCAGTGTTGCAGGTGAGGCCACCCCAGGTCAGAGCAGAGCGGGACAATCCCCTCCCTCACCCAGTGCTGCTGTCCCTGATGGCCCCCAGGACAGGCTTGGCCCTCCTGGCTGCCAGGGCACTGCTGACTCAGGGCCAGCTGGCCACCCACCAGGACTTGCTTTCCTACGAAAGGATAAAGAACATTGAGAACCATCAGGTCCAAGTGCTGTGTGAGACAGGCAGAGTCTGGTCCTGCTCATGCCCGATGGAGATCCCATGGATTGCGGTGTCCCACATTCCATAACCTATGAAAGGATTGAAGCTTCCAGCTCCTCTCTGCCCAGCCACTGCTCCACCAAGGCCACTCTCTTTTCCTTTCATTTTCCTCCTCCCTCTTGCCCCGTCCCAGGCACCCTGTGCAGGACCAAGCCCACCGACCTGGTGTTCATCATCGACAGCTCGCGCAGCGTTCGCCCGCACGAGTTCGAGAAGATCAAAGTCTTCGTGTCCCGGGTGATTGAGGGGCTGGACGTGGGGCCCAACTCCACCAGGGTGGGCGTCATCAACTACGCCAGCGCTGTCAAGAACGAGTTCTCCCTCAAGACCCACCACACCAAGGCCGGGCTCCTGCAGGCCGTGAGGAGGATTGAGCCGCTCTCCACGGGCACCATGACCGGCCTGGCCATCCAGTTCGCCATCAGCAGGGCCTTCAGCGACTCAGAAGGGGGCAGGGCGAGGTCTCCCAACTTTAACAAGGTGAGCAAATTAAAATCGAGTTTCTTTCCGTGAGAAACAGGCTGGTTTTTTGTTGTTTTTTTTTTTTTTGGAAGCTCCCTCTCTCGGAGCGGTTTGGAAAAGGGTGATGGGAGCCGAGGTGGGAGAAATAAAGGGAAGGTAGGGGGAAAAAAAAAAAGATCAGGCACATTTATAGGTCTGGTACTACCAGTTAATAGCTGTGAGGATGCTGAGAGAAATCTGAAAGTGTATTTTTGAGGTATTTACTACCCCTTGCAGGGGCTCTGGGAATTGTAGGAGTTCCAAAGAAAGATTGTGCCCATGACAATGGACCAGATGAGGGCTGTCCTGAGCAACGTGATTCCACTTGGAGGTTAATTGGCAGAGGTGGGAATCACTGGGAGGTGCAAACATCTCAATTCTTCCTGAAAACAAAGCTCAGCTTTGAGATTTAGAGAAAGAAAATTAAATTAAAAAAAAAAAATCCCAAATGTTTCAGTGCAAGGAAACATTTCTCTCCTTGAGCGCTGAGAGGCAAAAGAGACATTTACCTCTCACTGCTTCCAAAACAACCTTGTAAAAAGATTATTTCTCATCTCATTCTATGGTTGTTCCAGACGTTTAGAAGGGGCTAGAATTACCTCCAGAATTAACCTCTACTTTTACTCCTGACTCATCCTGACACCTCACACACAGCACTGCCCGTCCCTGCAGACTGAAGAGACATTTTCACTGAGCTGTCCATGAAAATGCTGGATTTTCACCTAAGGAATCTCTTCCACACCATTAAATAACCCCTTTCCTTGTGCACTGCTCTTGTCTGCTCTGCTGCCAGACAACCCACCCAACAGGCTCTTCCCACCCTTGCTCTTCCCTGTCATCCCAATCTTTGTGTGGGCAGTGGCACAAAGAGATCCAAAGCTGCTTTATCTCCTTGAAATCTTCTTTCCTGTGGACACCTAAAAAAAGTAGAATAGCAGTGGTTTTTTTTGTTTGATTGATTTCTCTTAGGCATTAAAACAAAGAAAAAAAGAAAATCACCTCATTTTTCCCTCTTTCCTTCTACCCTGGAGCTGATCCAAGAGAATCCCGGAAAGGTTGGGCTTGGAAGGGATCTCTGGAGGTCACACTGACCAGCCCCTGTGCCCAAGTGGGGCCACCCAGAGCTGGTTGCACCAGACCATGCCCAGATGGCTCTTGGATATTTCCAAGGTGGAAAACTCCACAGCCATCGGCACTTCTGGCTTCCCTGGTTATTTTTGTTTGTTTGTTTATTTTTTTCCCATTATGCCTTAAAATCTCCAGCAAGTTTTTCCCTTCTTGTGACACTCATGGTGACCCCACCACCCTCCTGGCAGGATGAACCAGGTCCTGCAGAGATTTAGGGAAGCTTCCAGAAGCCCTGGCCACGGTGCTTGCTCCTTCCCACTGCAGAAAATCCAGCAAGGACCTTGCGAGAATCCTGCTTTTCAACCACGTGGGTTTGACACCGGTCAAAACATCACATGTTCAGGGAGGTTTTGTTGTGCTTTGTGCAGCCAATGTCACCCCAGGGCAGGGAAAAGCACTGTTTGTTTCTGTAGGAGTTCAGGGAGAAGCCTGTTCAGACCTTTCTCAAAACCCACGGGGTGCCCAATTACTTTGATTTTTTTTTTTTTTTTTTGAGGCAGAACAACCAAGAAATTGTCAAATTGCTGAGCAAATCAAGGGTTTTATTTGACTTTCTGCCCAATTCTCCTTTCAGTGCTGGGAGAACATCATGTCATAGAGGGGATAAGGAGGCATCAACCCCTCATTAGCTGCTGGATTGTCCCCACACACCAGCCCTGAGGTGGGAATACCTGGGGATGCCCAGGAATCCTCTGGTGTCTCAGTTAACCAGGAATAAATCGTGCCCCCATCCCATGGGGGATTTCTGTGCCACGGAACAAACACGAGAGGGATCCAGAAAGACAGGAATTCACTGGCTGGTTAAAATCAACCCAAGATTTGACCTCGAAAAGCAGAATTTCTGAGCTTCCTTAGGGAAAAACTGCAGCTCCTGCTCAGCTGAGCCAAATATAATAATAATAATAATAATAATAAAAAGACATTTTTTTCACATTGACTCAGCCTGGTAGGGTGAATGTGGGAAAAAAATATGTGACATATGGAGGCAAAAAAAAATAAAAATAAAATCAGGATTTTCTGATTATTAAGATAATCAAATGTGATCTCAAAATCATTTTCTACCTGCTTTATTTCTTACACTCTCTCTGTATCACCTGGTCCTGGTTGTAGACCCAAACGGGCTGGCTGGCCTTGGTGCTTGGCTCATTTTCTCCCCTCGTTAATTCCTGATGCCAATTCCAGACTCTTTGCTCCCCCCTCCGAAGTTTTGTTTTCCCCATCAGCAGGTCAGAAAGCAAGGCGAATTTTGAGTCGATTTTCCCACGGGCGCATCCCGAAGATCTTCCTTTCCCCCCACGCCATCCGGGCGCGGATGCTGCTCCCAAATCACCTCCTGGGCTGTCCCTGGGGCTCAGCTTTAGCTGCGGATGCCACGTGGAGATGGAAAGGAGCTCATTAAACCTGGCAACCTGCTTTATTTGGACAGAAAATATTGGGGAAGGGGGGGACACACAAATCCCCCCAAACCCCACCTGCGTGCTGTGCCAAACACTCCGCTCCTGACAGGCGAACGCGCTCTCGGGGCGCTGTTCTCGCAGCAGAGACTCGCTAATACACCTTGTTTCCCGACAGGTTGGTTTGGAAAGGCTCTAATTGGCAGGGCAGGAGGGCTGGCAGGAGGCAGAGCAGCCTGAGCGCTGAGCCGAGGGCTCTCTCTCCTGGTAGAAGGATTCACTGCAGGGCTGGCTCTAACCCCAGTCCTCCCTTAACAGCCTCATTCCCCTCTACAGCACACACTTACTGCTCCTCCTTGTTTTGGCCACGATTAGAAGAGAGAAAATTGAATTTATTTCCTTTTTGCTCCCCCCGCTGGAAGCAGCCAGGTGTGCAATTGTGGTGCTGCCCTTCGGAAGTGCAGAGAAACAGCTGAACTTGCAGATGGGACAGATCGATATTTGTTCATGGTTTGGTCATATTTTGGAGAGAAGAAAAGCTCTGAGCAGGGCAGGGGATTGCTTTGGAAGTGCAGGATTGCTCTGGAATGGGGGACAGCCCCCAGGGAATGGCTGGAGCTGTGTCAGGGCAGGCTCAGGTTGGATCTCAGGGAAAGGTTCTTCCCCCACAGGCTGGTTGGGCACTGAACAGGCTCCCCAGGGCAGTGGGCACAGCCCCAAGGCTGCCAGAGCTGCAGGAGGCTTTGGCTGATCCTCTGGGGCACAGGGGGTGACTCTTGGGGCTGGGCCTGTGCAGGGCTGAGGGTTGGACTGGATGGTCCTTGGGGGTCCTCTCGACTCAGGATAATCAGCTGAAGGGGGGGCAGAGGGGGAAGGAGCCTCTTCCCCTGCATTCCTGCCCCCCTTGGACACGTGGGGCAGGGAAATACACTCCTGACCATCCCCAAGATGACTTTTTTCCACCCTAACCGAGCAGCTGGTGGGTCTTTTTTCATCCTCAGAAAGATGGAGAGCACACATGGCATAGAGGAGAACAGCAAATCCTGCCTCACTGACCAGCTGATGGCTCAGCCAAACTCCCTCTTCCTGCCAGATAGATTTTTTTTTTCCTGCCTTCTTGAGGTTTCTTTGCTTTCTGTATTACTGAGGGTGTTTGCTTGTGATGTGGAGGGTTTTTTCTGCTTCACAGATCACCTGCTGCTGCTGATTTTGTTTCTCCACTCTGCATTCCATCCCAGGCAGTTGCCCTGGAGTTGGCAGTGGGCTCACAATAAAACAGTTGTAAGGAGAAGTGGCAGGAGCAGATGAATTGGCAAAGAACAAGAATTAAGGTCTTGTGACAAGGTCGCTTTCAGAAGAAAAATAAGAAGGAAAAAGGACAAAGCAGCAGCAGGAGAAGGAATCTTGGAGGCTTTCCACTGGTTCAGGGCATCACCTAACCCAAGGTGAAATCCAGTTCCTGCTAAAACCAGCTGCCATTTGAATGCTGGTGTTAACAGGGGTAGGATTTACTGTGGGAGAGGGAATCAGAAATCCTGGCAGGCTCTGGCACACAGTGGGACCTGAGGCTCTTCCCCTCTCTCTGCTCCAGCTTCTCCATCTATTAAAATGTGGACAAGTCTTCAGCTCATGATGCTTCCATGACACTTCCTGAGATTCCCTGAAGTCCTGCTTTGAGTTAGAGCTGTCCTGAGTGGCAGCTGGGGGCTCATGAAGGCAAAATTTGGCTTGAACATGAGTTTGTGTAAGAAGAACTTTACCTTGGTTTCCTTAGGGCTGAGATCCACCAGTTGTCCCTTAATTAATGAAGAGTCCCAGAATGTGCTGAGCTGGAAGGGACCCCCAAGGACCATCCAGTCCAACCCTCAGCCCTGCACAGGCCCAGCCCCAAGAGTCACCCCCTGTGCCCCAGAGGATCAGCCAAAGCCTCCTGCAGCTCTGGCAGCCTTGGGGCTGTGCCCACTGCCCTGGGGAGCCTGTTCAGTGCCCAACCAGCCTGGGGGAAGAACCTTTCCCTGAGATGCCACCCTGAGCCTGCCCTGACACAGCTCCAGCCATTCCCTGGGGGCTGTCCCTGCTCCCCCAGAGCAGAGCTCAGGGACCTCCGTGTGGTTCCACCCATCCCTTCCCTCTCCACATCCACCCCCCAAGGTGTCTCTGCCCCAGCAGTCGCCCATGGGGTGTCCAACACGTGCCCTCCCTGTGCAGGTGGCCATCGTGGTGACTGATGGGCGTCCCCAGGACGGGGTGCAGGACGTGGCCGCCCGGGCCAGGGCCGCTGGCATCGAGATCTTCGCCATCGGGGTGGGCAGGGTGGACATGCACACGCTGAGGCAGATCGCCAGCCAGCCCCTGGACGACCACGTGGACTATGTGGAGAGCTACAGTGTCATTGAGAAGCTGACCCAGAAGTTTCAAGAAGCTTTCTGTGGTAAGTTCTTGTCACCAGCCCCCAGGGTTCCCAGCACGGGGCTGTGCCAGCTTTTCATGGAGACATGGAATGGTTTGGGTTGGAGGGACCTGAGAGACCATCTAGTTGCACCCCTTGCCATGGGCAGGGACACCTTCCACCAGCCCAAGGTTGCTCCAACCTGGCCTTGGACACTTCCAGGGATCCAGGGGCAGCCACAGCTTCTCTGGGCAACCTGTGCCAGGGCCTGCCCACCTCAGAGTGAAGATTATTTCTAGTCCTGGCTGTGCCTTGTCAAAAGTCTCCTTGCCTCCTGTAGCTGCTCTGTCCAAGAGCAGTGACCTGGATGTTTGTCTTGTGGCAGAGTGGATTTAGTTCTGGGACAATACCCTGCTGTGGGTGGGCTCAGTCAGGTCTGGGTGGGGAAGTCTTGGCCTGGGCTCTGATTTAGGGCAGATATCCTGAGCTGTGAATGGGTTGAGCTGGGTCTGGGTGGAAAAGTGTTGGCCTGGGCTCTGATTTTAATCCCCATTTTTCTTTCAGTGGTGTCTGACCTGTGTGCCACTGGAGACCACGACTGTGAGCAGATCTGTGTGAGCACCCCAGGGGCCTACAAATGTGCCTGCAAGGAGGGCTTCACCCTCAACAACGATGGCAAGACCTGCAGTGGTGGGTGATGGTTCCCACTTGCCCTGAGCAGGGCTGGGAGCTCAGTGGGATGGGGGGACAGGACTGGGCCAGAGCATCTTCTGTTCAGAGCAGGCAGAAAAGGAAACCATGCACTTACAGACTTTTATAATATATAATTTTAAAATCATTTTGAAAACATTGCTCTGAACTGTTGTTGGGTTTTGATGGCTTAAACCTATTTCCTTAGCCATTCAATGGCACTCAGATTATATTTTCCCACATAATTAATTGGGGGCTCTGTTGCTGTTTTCTCCTGCCCTCTTCTCACGTGTTTCCTCAGCTTGCAGTGGTGGGCTGGGATCTGCCCTGGATCTTGTCTTCCTCATCGATGGCTCCAAGAGTGTGAGGCCTGAGAACTTCGAGCTGGTGAAGAAATTCATCAACCAAATCGTGGACTCGCTGGAGGTGTCGGACAAGCAGGCCCAGGTTGGGCTGGTTCAGTACTCCAGCTCTGTCAGGCAGGAGTTTCCCCTGGGGCAGTTCAAGAACAAGAAGGACATCAAAGCAGCAGTGAAGAAAATGTCCTACATGGAGAAAGGGACCATGACAGGCCAAGCTCTGAAGTACCTCGTGGACAGCTCCTTTGCCATCGTCAATGGGGCCAGGCCGGGGGTGCCCAAGGTGGGCATTGTGTTCACTGATGGGAGGTCACAGGATTATATCACAGATGCTGCTAAAAAAGCCAAAGACTCAGGTGGGTCTCCTGAATTCTTGTTTCTCCCTTAGATCAGGTGCTGCCTCGTGTATCAAACCCAGGATTCTTTCCCTGGAGATGCCTCTTCCTTAGGACACAAACAGCTTCCAACAGGGCGTGTGGAGATATCTCCTGGCTGTGCTTGGGTGCTCATAAAGAACTTGGAGCCACCCTGGCTGGGCTCCAGGTGCACCTTGGTTTGCCAGCAGCTGGTTTTAGTCCCCTTGGGGTCTTTGGTTTAAGTCTGCTGGAGGTGTTTCTGCTGGGCAGGGAGGAGTTTGCCACCCTTGGGATGGGATGGGATGGGATGGGATGGGATGGGATGCACACCAGTCATGCTAAATGACACACAAATGCCAAGGAAACTGAGGATGCCCCATCCCTGGAAGAGTCCAAAGCCAGGCTGGAGCAACCTGGCCTAGTGAGGGTGTCCCTGCCCATGGCAGGGGGTGGAATCAGAGGCACTTTAAGGTCCTTTCCAGCCCAAAACCATTCTGTGATGCTGTGATTTGTCTGAGGGTGGCAGTGAAATCCAGCTCAGCCTCAGTGGCACACGTGGTGAGGCGAAGATGACCCTCAGAGAGCCCCTTGGAGAGTAACAGGAGCTGCAGGACCAAGTGTGGCTTGGCTGTCTCAGCCCTGGGGGCCAGGAAAAGGAAAATAAAACAGTAACCAAAGCAGAAATGCAGGTTAAGAAGTAACTCTGCACTACCTGGCACACTCGTAAGAAACTTTATTCAGCTTCTCTTGTTTAGCAAAAGTGCAGAGTGGCCACATATTGATACATTAATAGGCCCAAACCCCATAAAATATTAATACCTCGAGATGTGCCCCTCTGCTGACCTGCTGAGCAGGTTCCAGCCTCTGCCATCCCTGTGGCAAACGGGCACAGCCCTTGTGAACTCACTCATGAATTGCTGAATCCTCTCCTGCCTTTTAACTTCGGGCTCCAACCACTAGATGGGACTAAGGGCCAGCACATCATCACAGAGGTCAGGGACGAGCTCTGGGAGGCCGATGTTTACAGAGCAACTCGGCATGTTATGCTCTTATAAACCAGAAGGTTCCTTCTAAACTGCATTTATAGAATTTATTCCCCTGTGATGATAAAATTTTATGCCTCGTTTCTTCCTCCTCTCTTGACCCCGCGAGGAAATCTCCAGTCTCTGTCCAGGAGTTGTTTCTGTGGGAGGAATAACAAGGAGCTTATAAGGAGACTCCAAACTTGTTCTTTGAGTTTAACTTGGAGAAACAAACAGATATTGGATACAGCCAGAGCTGGAAAGACAAGGCACAAAGGGGAAGAGGGGGAAAGTGTTACCAGGACAAGCTCAAGCAGCGCTTGGAAAACGCTCTCAGGGATTGCTGGGGTGTCTGTGCAGGGCCAGGAGTTGGACTGGATGAGCCTTGGGGGTCCTCCAAGCTCAGGGTGTTCTGTAATTCCTATTTTGAACCTGGGCTTAATTGGTATCATCACCCAAAATGGGCAAACTGCACTTTGGTTCAGCAGAAACGAAGTTTAAGGCAGAAAAGCACAACAGCTGGACACGTAATCTTAACTCCCAGGGTGTGCTGCTCTTGGCAGATGGGTTGCAATTTTAGGGGGAGACTCAGCTCCAGCTTTGCTGGCTGACCTGGCTGGAAGGAGCTGGGATAGTAAAGATGAAGGGGTTAATTCACCAGTTACAGCTGGTAAGTGTGGGACTGGGGGTGCAGAAGGGGTGGTCCCATCCCAGCTCCACGTCCCCCTGACAGGATCCCGTTGCTCCCAGGCTTTAGGATGTTTGCTGTGGGGGTTGGCAACGCCGTGGAGGATGAGCTGAGGGAAATCGCCTCAGAACCAGTGGCTGAGCACTATTTCTACACTGCTGACTTCAGAACCATCAGCAAGATCGGGAAGAAGCTCCAGATGAAGATCTGTGTTGGTGAGAGTTGGGGGACTGGGGAGAGAAGGGGGGGTTTTAAGGCTGGGAAGCAGAAGGACAAAAATGCCCTTTCAGGTGGGTGTTGCAAAAAGCTCTCTGTTCTCACTGTGTTGAGTTGGGAGGTGGAAGGATCAGGAGACATCAGTTTTGGGTGGTGACCTGCAAAGCAACCCCTACACCTCAGCCTTCCCAACTCTCCCAAACTCCCTCTCCTTCCCTTTTCCTCCACCTTTCTCCCCTTCTCTGCCTTTCTCCTCAGAAATGACGAACTCAGGCTGTGCCACCTCCTGAGAGCAGCCAGAAGGTGCAGAAGGAAAGAAGAGAAGCCAAGACTCGATTTATTTGGCTTAATTCACAAAACTGAAGCTTTCTAACCACTGGCTGCTTCTCCAGGTTCCTAAAGATGGGACTTCCCTTTCCTCTAAGAGGCTCCAGTGGAAAATTACACTGCTTATGGTTAATTAAAACATTTAATTTGAGAAGTTTTTTTGAAGAAAAAAAAAAACAGGCTCTGTGTCTGCAGAGAGGCAGCTTTGCAAGGCTGAGACTTTCATGGCTCCTCTAAAAAGTAGGAGTCAATCCAAGGACAAAGTGATGGGAGCTGTGTCAAAAAAAAAACCCAACAAACCCCAATATATTGTATTTAAACATCTTTCAAGAAAGCAAACACATTTAGGCTTCAGCATTCAAAAAAAGCAGATTTTAGAAAGAGTATTTGTTTGCAAAAAAAATTAAAAAATCAATTTGGGTAAATATATTAATATTTGAGTATTTAAAAGCAAAAAAAAAAAAAAGAAAGGGAAGGAAATATTTACATTTGTTTGATTTCCAGTGCCAGCTTGTATTTATCAACAGATGGCCAGAAATCTTCTGGTAATATCCAGCTTCAGTTTACTCAGGATTTGTGGTTTCATGTAAGGGATGTCCTTTCCTTTAAAAAGTCTTACTCTTGTTTACTCCTTCCATTTCCTTTCTTTTCCCAAATATTTTGTACTCCTTTTTTTTTTTTTTATCCTTTTTACCCCTTTTTACTCCCATTCCAGTTAATTTTGCTTGAAGAATTTGTGGAAATTATGGACACAGGTTAACAAACTGATTAATGCACGTTCCTCCAGCCACTCAAGGACTGGAAAACTGAAGCAAAGTTCAACCAACCAGGGCCTCCAATTTTTATTTGATGGTACTGGGGAGGTGGTTTTGAGCACCACGTTTGGTCAGATTCAACTTTTGGGGGCAAACTTTAAGCAGCAGCAGAAGAGCTCAGTGGGTTTTTAGGGAAGTGGAAACCCAGGAGAGATTTTCCTACACAGAGCCTGATGAGAAAATGTGACATTCTCTGGTCATCTGAGAGCCAGAAGTGATCAGTCAGATAATTAGAAGGGATGATAATTTGATTTCCTTCCTCTTTCTGACAAAGAATTGCTTTATTTCACTGATCTCAGTGATTCTGATTAAACCCTTTTTTTTGGTACCACTGAACTCATCTTCTTGACATTCTGCTCCACAGAGGAAGATCCCTGTGAATGTAAATCCATCCTGAAGTTCCAGACCAAAGTTGAAGATCTCATCAATTCCCTGCAGCAGAAATATATCCTTTGGGAGCTGAGTTTGTCCAGTTGTCCTTTGGGAGTTGGGTCGTGGTTCCTGATGGGACCAGAGGGGAAATTCCACTCCCGGGGGGAAGGAGGTTGGGAAAGAAGCTGGAAACAAGACTTTGGGGTTGTTGGATGTGGCATTTCATGCTCTGGTCTGGTTGACAAGGTGGGGATTGGTCAATGGTTGGGTTTGATGACCTTGGAGGGCTTTTCCAACCTTAATGGTTCTGTGATTCTGTGAAGATGGGCCATTTATGAGTCTGGATAATTCAGCTGGATGCATCCAATAGTCAGGTCCAAACCAGGCTAAAACTCAGTTCTAGGAGATAAAACTCTCATGTAGCTGCTCAGTGCAAACATCTCCAGTAGAGTGAGCTGGATCCCACCTCAGCCAAGTTGTTGGGACTGCATTTTTCACAGATAAGGTTGAAAGAGAAACAAGAAAACAAACAAACAAAAAAAAGTTGTGAGGAAGCTTCAAACTTCTCCTGCAGGGAGGAATTTGTGAAGCCTCACACGGGGCTGGGGAGGTTTTTCACTGCTGAGAAGGAGGAGAGGGTGTAATTTTAACAGCAGTGCTCTGATTTATTCACACATTTCCGTGCTTTGCTGTGTCACTTTTTGCATGGTTTCGTTTCTACTCTTTACGTCAAACCGAGCGAAATCCATGACTGGTGTTCTGCCAAAGGTCACAGGAAAGCAGCAGTTCTCACCCAGGGTGTTGCTGCTCCCGGGCCCATCAGCAAAATCAATTAGTGAAACGAGCAGAAAATTGCTACGGCTCGCTTTGTGACTCCAGGAAAAGCACCTGGCTCCTCTCTCCAGGCTGCCCAGGGTCAGGAACTCCCTGTCAGCCACTCCAAACATTTCCCCAGTGCTTCTCCCAGGTTTTGCTCCTCCCGACAAAGGTGTGTGTGACAGGGGTGTGTGCAGAGCCATTTCCTACCTTCGGCAAAAACTCAGCAGCCTGAGAAGTTGTGGATGTGCCAGAGTAGGTGAGAAATTCCCCGTGCTCTCAGCAAGGCAGCACCATCCCACTCCTTATCAGTCAGGGAAGGACTGGGGAAAGGAATCGTGGAATCACAGAGTGGTTTGGGTTGGAAGGGACCTTAAAAATCATCCAGTTCCACCCCCTGCCATGGGCAGGGACACCTCCCACCAGCCCAGGGTGCTCCAACCTGGCCTTGGACACTTCCAGGGATCCAGGGGCAGCCACAGCTTCTCTGGGCAACCTGTGCCAGGGCCTGCCCACCCTCCCAGGGAGGGATTTCTTCCAAATATAATCTAAATCTGTCTTCATTCCCAACGTGCAGTGTCATTTTTCCTCCTTAACTCCTGCCCACTGGAAGCCGTGGCAAAAAGGATCGAAGCCCTGGAGAACAAGATCATCTAAAGTCCCAACACAGAGGGTTTTTTACCTCCTTCCTAGAACTCCTCCACTTGTCAGGGAGGGCAGCTCAGCCACAGAGCTCTGGCCAGCTTGTATTCGAGTCCTAGAATAACTGCATTTGTTTAAAAGGGAAGAAATATAAAAGTAGAGCATTGTATAATGGGCAGAGCACTGTGTGTTGCATCATGTAGAGTGCATATATTAGAAAAAAAAAGAAAAAAAAAACAAACCTGGAAAGATTTGTTTTTGATTTAAAGCTTAATATATATATAGGTGTTGATAAGTCCTTGATGATGAGTTCTGTGAATCCTCGCTGTGTTCTTCTGCAGCTTCTGTTTCTGTGCATGAGATAATTTAATTTAAAAGTCAAAGTGACTTCGGATCACCTCAGATGCTGAGTGGAAAATGCCAAAGCTGATCACCCTGCTGCTGTGAGCACCACGAGTGTGGCAGCAAGTGAAGTGCAGCAGCGAGCCCTGAGCGTGAGCTGCAGGTGGGATGGGCTGGGCTGGGTTTATCCAGGGCTGTTGAACAGCAGAGCAAGAGAAAAGCTCGGCTTTCCCAGCCAGTGGATGGAGCTCCTGCTCTGGGGGAGTCCTGACAATGTGCAATGTGTGTGACACCAGCCCCTGTCCCCAGCACCAGCCCGGATGTCTCTCCACGTCCTCAGCTGGAGCTTCAAAGCATCATCAGCACCTGAAACACAGGGAAGTGCTGCTGGAGCTGCCCAGGGGAGAGGTGACTCCACTGCTGTGTCATCCAGAGCCTCCCTGGCTCCTCCTCATCCCACAGAGTCACAGAATCCCAGGATGGGTCGGGTTGGAAAGGGTCCCCAGCGGCCCCATCTGCTCTCCCAACCTCCCTCCTCCAAGCAGGGCCATCCCAGAGGGCAGGGCACAGCTGGTTCCCACACCCCTAAGCACCTTCAAAGCCACCAAGTTCATCTCAAGACCTTTCAGACTCTCCCTCCTGTCCCTGGATTCCCCAGCACTGGCAAAGACAAAGCAGCAACGTGGACTGGAAGCCCCTCAGACCTGCCTGTCTCCTGCAGCTGTAGCCTGGAATTCAATCCTGGGAGGAAGGGGGGGGGCCCTGGTGACCCATGGGATGGTCACACACTTTGGGTGTTGGGTTTGGAGAGGGGGGGGTGGAGGAAGGGTGTTATGGTTTTATTTTTTGTATCAAAATATTTATACTTGAGACTCTGTGAAAAGCTTTTCAGAACGACTCGGCCTGTTCAGAAATCGTGTTTGGGGAGGGGGGAGGAATATTAAATGTTTGCTGTGAATTTTAAAATGAATTTCTTCCTCTGTGTGCTTATTGAGGTGGTTGCCTGACAACACCAGCTCTCAAGAGTGGGGAGGAAAACCCTCTTCAACTCATGTCACAACCTCTTATTTCAATGCAAGAGGAGAAATGGGTCCATGGAGGAAGCCAAACCCTTCTCTCAAAATGAAAAAAAGCATCTTTTCTAATAAAAATCATTATACTCTTGATGTGCAGGAACGAATCAAGCATTAACTCAAGGACTGCAGTCAGTTCTTGAAAGCAAAACCTCAGCCTCTCAGCCAAATCCTGAGTACCCCAGAATCCAGGGGAACCTCCCCCCCAACTCCTGAACTGCTAAAGAGAAGATTCCTCTTTAATTTTACACACATACAATCTAGAGCTCCAAGATTAATGTTAATTGGTGTTGAGAAAGGGATGCACAGGGTGCACTTGTCAGGATTATCCAAAGGGCACATTTAGTACAACGAAGCAGCACCTGAAACTTCTTTTAATAAATCTTTATAAATTATAATAACCCCTTCAGATATGCAACTAACCCTTAAACACCTCACCCAGGGTGAGAGGATCCCCTCTACTGCCCTGCAAGGAATCCTCTGCCAAGTTGTCGTGGTTTTGCCCACCAGCCCATCCCTGGGGCTGAGGATGGTTTTGTCCAGGTGATTTCCGGACAAAAAACCAATCAAAAAGTTCAGTGACGCCTTTGCTAATTACATCTTTAAGAAAAGGGAAGAGAAGGTTGTTGCGCAGTTGAAATTAAGAACAGCAGCCATGTAGAAGGGTAGCGGGCCCGAGGAGGGCCAAGGCCCCCTCCTCCCCAGCTTGGGCCGGGGGTGGGGGGTAGGTGTAGCACTGAAGCCTCCCTTCTCTCTTGTGAGAGAGTGAAGAAAAAAAAAGGTTTAAAAGACAAACTGCTTAGACGAGAAACCGCTGCAGAAGAATTCCAGCCATGAGATAACAGGATTTTCAAGGTCAAGGCTGGCAGCTGAAACTGCAACAGGAGAGAGAAGAAAAGTTCGAAGGGGGGAGAGCTGCTTTTTCTCCCTTTTCGCTCTCCCTCCCTTCAGCAGGGTAAAGACTGAAAAATAAAACCCTGCCACCTGTAGAAGTTTGTTGGGGTGAAGAGACCCCCATGCGGCTCACAGAGGAGCTTGTGGATGCACCAGAGATTTGTGACTTTAACAGAGAAAGCCTTATGCTGGAGTAAAAGCGGCTCAGATGAGGCAGAGTCCTGTTAAAGACTTTGTGACCCTCGAAGGGATCAATGCTTATGCTGGAGCGAGACGGCTCAGATAAGCTTGGGATCTCAGTGAGAGATCCATGCTGCTGCTGTTGAAGATTTATGACCCTGACGGGTATTAGAACCTACGCTGGAACACAAAACGGTTCAGGTAGGGATGTTGGGATCCATGTGTGGGATCCGTGCTGCTGGTGCTAGAGAGAACCTACGCTGGAGCAGAAAATGGCTCAGGTGGGATATTGGGATCCGAGTAAGGGATCCAGACTGGACCCATGCCGAGAAGTCAATCAAGGACTGTTCTCCCATGGGGAGGGACCTCCATAGGGAAACAGGGGTGAACTCTTAAACCATTATCCCCTGTAACCCTGTGGAAGAAGATCCATAGTAAGCAAGTGTCCCCTTGCAAGCCTATGGAAGGAGACCCTTCGGGACCTGGGTAACCCTCAACCTTCGGTTTTAACCCAGGAGGGGGGTAGGTCCAACCCTGGAGGCCAACACAGAATAAGAGAGAGATAAAGAAGTTCCAACTGCGACGAAAGTGCTGCAGAGTTACTAAAGAGAGAGAGAAAGAGCTGGAATTCTGAGAACAGAAAAAGACTGCTTCTCCTCCTTGGACTGATATAAAGGGAAGTGGGGGGGGAAAAGTATCTTTTGTAAATACATAGTACCTTTTACTCAAATAGAATTGTTGTAAATATAATTCTTTAATTTTAGTTTATTAATAATAAATACTCATACCTTTTTTTTTAATTCAGTCTCTTTTTGTCTGCATAAACCTTCTCTCAGCTGATAATAATTGTATGGGGTGCAAAAGTAAATTGAACCAGGACAAAACCACGACACAAGTCATCACAGAATCCCAGAATATTCTGAGTCGGAAAGGACCCACAAGGATCATCAAGTCCAGATCCTGGACCTCTTGAGACCAAAATAAGAATCCAACTCTTAGGTGGTTTATGTGGAATCACTTCCCACTATACCCATAATGGGAGCAGAAAAACCTCCTCAGGAAGCAGAAGCAGCTTCTGAATGTTCTGATTATCAGGTTTTTTTGATCAGACCCTCAAAAACTGAGCTCCTGCCACAGAGCACAACCTCACCTGGGGTTACAGCCAAGTGATAATGAAAGGGGGGCTGAGAGAAAGGAGGGGACAGATTTGGTGACAACAGGACGAGGGGTGATGATTCTAAACTAAAAAAGAGTAGATTCAGAGCAGATAGATGGAAGAAATTTTTTATGGGTTGCCCAGAGAAGCTGTGGCTGCCCCTGGATCCTCAGTCTAACAGCTGATCAGAGGCAATTCCCTTCCATCTGATAAGATGACAACAGCATTATTTTCCTTTTTATTTTCAGCTCTAATCACTTTGCCCATCATGGAAATGAGCTCCTGTAGTTAATTTCCTTCTGTGCCTCTTTATTCTTGAAACGCTTTAAAAGCAAAATTTAATCGCCCCAGGAGCTGAAAGATGGATTTGATTTTAATTCGTGGCGTGGAAATATCTACATGTTAAGATATTGCTGTTGTCATTCTGCAGTTTAAGCTGTTTGCCTGACTTTTTCAGGTGATGGGATAAGTCCCTGTAAATTGGGGGGTTGGATTTTTGCCTCCACCACTCAGCCCACCTCGCCCACTGCCAGTTTAACCCAACAGCTCCCAGAAAACTCATTTATGTGGGGAGCAAAACAATCCCCAGCCTTTTTTTAAGGAGGCTGATCCAGGTGGGACCGTGCCTGGTGGGGGCAGTGACTCAAATTGGGATGTGAAGGGAATTTCTCCAAACCTCTGGGAGATGTGGAGCCTTCCTAAATTATTAAACCCTCCATCCTCCCATCCCATCCATCAAGAAACAGTCTCCACAGTATATCCATTTATATACCATAAATACATTTAATACATATATATATTTATTATTTAGAAGTATATATAAATTATATAATTTTATATAACTGTATAACTTTATAGAATTTAATTACAATATTAATATACTGATCATAGTGTCATATCTTGATATTGTAATAATTATATAACATTACATAATATGTAATTATATCTTGTATTATATATTATAATACATATAAATATTTATGTATAATCTCCATAGGTATATATATAGAGAATATATACATATTTATATATATATATATACACCATATATATAGTATATTTCTCTATACCATGGTCATTAATCATTGAAAACCTCAATCCAAGCCAAACTTCTGCCATCACCAGCCCCTCCTTCTCCCAGCAAAATCCTCCTCAAGGAACACTCAGGGAGGGCCACAAATCGTAAATAAATAATAATAATAAACTAAAGCAACAGAAAAGAAAGCTTTTCCTCCCGGTGGCTGAGGGGCCCCAGAATTGCTTCGGTAACTACTATTGTGGTTTGTGTCACAGATAAAGCAGAACTAAACTAATTAACAATTATTTTTCCTCCCCTGGCTTCAAACAACAGGAGAGCTCCTGCCTCTCCG